CGTGTGTGTGGTGTGTGTCGTGTGTGTGGTGTGTGTCGTGTGTGTCGTGTGTGTCGTGTGTTAGAGGTAGGACGAGTGGATAAGGGGCGCCATGGGTCCGTGGGCGGAGTGGCGAACCTTGTTCATGTTGACGGCGGGGGCGGCGGTGCGGAGGGCTTCCTCGACCAAATCGCGGATGACGAACGGCGCCGTCTGCCGCATGACAAACTCACCCTGTGCCGACACACGCGCGACCGAAAACAATACATAAATAAATAACTAATAATAATTTAATAATAACTTTAATAATAATGGTGGGTACCGGCCGATAGGACACGTGGAGAAGCTTCGCGACATCGTTGGAGGTGTCGAGCAGACTCAGGGCGCAGTTCTGCACGTCTACGGCGTAGGCCTTCTGCTCGCCGACCAGCTTCGTCGCCAGCAGGTCGTGCATGCGCTGCAGAACTATAGTATAGCAACGTTTGGCGGTCAGTCAAAGAAAGAAGAACCGATGAAGTGGCGGCCATCGTGAGCGAACAGTCGGCGAGCGCCGTACTTTCGTTCGAGGGCGATTGGATGCGCTGCGAGATGCGGGCCAGGAGGGACGTCTTCTCGGCGAGTGCCGCCTGCAGCTCGACCGAAGCCTCCAGCTGTTGACTTGAGTGACGTCAGCATCCACCAATAAAATACACACGAAAAAATAATAAATAAAATAATAAATCAAATAAACAAAACAAAAAGAAGTGCGCACTCGAAGTCTATGGAGGGGATGGTGAAGTGGCAGGCGGCGACGATGGCGAGCGTGGCGGCGGCGATGTCGGCGGCCAGGGCCGACACGACAAAGGCTGTCGAGGCGCTGCCGCCGCCGACTACCCAGCCAACGCACTCGGCCACCATCTGAAGCGCGGCCCACGCCGCCACGACGAGGCCGCCGCTGCCCAGCTTGGCCTCCCACTTCTTGAGGAGGGCCGACCGAGCGACCGTCTCGCCCACGCGACTGACCACGTCGTCGAGCATGGGCGACGCGCCCACCAGGGGCCGCACGCGGCAGACGAGCAGGAGCGCGGCGAGGAGCGGCGCGTAGATGGTGGGCAGGATGCCGCTGGCGGATGCGGCGGTGGCGGAGATGACAGCACCGACGCCCGCGGCCAGTCCCACGAATGCCAGCGCGCGCTCGACGCCACGGCTGGCCTGTGCGCGAGAGGCAGCCGTCGTGCGCCTTGATTAGACACTGTGTGTCGTGTCGTGTCGTGTGTGGTGGGCGCACCTGTAGGCCGAGCAGGGGAGCGACGTTGGCAGTGCGGCCACCGAGCAGACAGCTCACTGATGCGAGGCACAGGCCCACACCCAATACCGCCTATGTGCGAAAAGAAGTTCATCGTTTCGATCGAAAACAGAATAATAAATACACTCAAATAAAACGTAAATGAAAAGAATAAGTTGCCAGCTTGAAGATTTAGATTGACCTTATTCAATCCAAACTGGCACAAGATATATATTGGTTAATATTATATAATTTAAATGTGCAATTAAAAGTCACTAGAGAGATGAAGGGTAACAAAAGAGGAGTGGCGTACGTGTCTGGTGAAGCCGAGGGCGGGTGCAGCAGGCAAGAGAAGAAGTAGGGGAAGTAGCATGAGAAGGGGGACCACGCCGTGTGCTCCATCAGCGCCCTGAGGTCGGCGACCCAGTAGCAGCAGGGCCATCACGCACACGCCTGCACCGAGGCTCACGCCCGCGCCCACCCAAGCGCCCATCATGGTCAACTTCGAGATCGCGGCCGTAGCTGCTGCCATGAGCATCATCTCGTGTTGTTCATGATGAAGTGATGGTGGCTCTACTCGGTGAAGCGATGCAGCCCCATTCGCGAAATCGTGGTGCGGCGTGTGGAGGGCCACATCAAGCCCCTCTACCCCGCTCGCCATCTTCGTGTGCGTGTCTGCCCTCGCTTGAAATCTGCTAAATTTGGGGCCTCAAAGCTACCGATCTGCAGAAGACCTCACCTGCTGTATTTTTTTCACCTTCGCAGCTCGGCTCAATCTCGCCAAAACGAAACGAAACGAAACGAAACCGTTTCGAAATCCCAAACGTGGCGACACACAAGCTTGGGCTCACTTGGCCTGGCCGTGCTCGGCCTGTGATGCGCAACAAGCAACAACAACAACAAGCCAAGGGTGAGCATGACAAAGGCTATGCCAACGAAGTGGTGGTGGTGGAGAAGGTGTACAAGTGACATGGCGATGGCCTGCTTGAGCTCGTCATCTTCGTCGTCTTCGTCGTCGCTACCGATGATCAGTGGCGGCAGCTGCTGCTGGAGAACGGGGGTCGAGGGTGCCGAATGCACCGCTGCTGCAGGCGGCGCCCCTGAATCCGGGCCGGCGAGGCTGGCCGCGATGGCCTGCATCAGCTGCTCCTCCTCCGAGAGCTGCGCTGCGGGTCGCTGGCCTCGCTTGGCCGCCACCCAATTGGGACTCCCTGGGTGTACACCTCGTGGGCGCTCCGGCAGCGATCCACGAACGCAGAGGATCGTGTACCCCTTCTCCAACAAGGTGTCCAAGAATGCACTGGTGGCGTTGTGTGTCGTTGTGTGTCGTTGTGTGGCGTTGTGTGTCGTGTCGTTAGCGTGGACCACCGGACTCAGTCGTGCCGCCGCGATCACGGGCATCGTTTACCTGAGATAGAACTGCGACAGGTATTGGGGTTCGGCTAACAGACTGCAGAGAGAGCGCCCGATGTGAGCACGCCACACGACCACACCCTCACATGGCCACGGAGAAGGGAATGGTCTGGCTACCTGTTGAAGTTGTACCAGTCCTCCCCAATCTTTCTGATCGTCAGCCAGTGGCTCGCCAGATTGCATATGAAGGCCTGCTCCTGCCTAGAAAGCGAGAGAGAGAGAGAGAGAAGCACCAATGTGGCGTTAGTGCCTCAATGATCATTGGTTGAGGGCCAGAGCCAGCACACGTACAGGGGATTGTCTTTGGCTTCCTTCATGTCGGGGTTGGTCAGGCTGTGACAGGTGAGGTTCCACACCTTGAGCGCCTCCTCGATCACCTGGATGGAGTAGTTGCCATCGTCTGCCACGTTGCCCGAGTCCTCGGCCATATACCTGATAAATAAATAAATAAATAAATAATAAATAAAGGAATGGAAAAATAGAGCCAAGGAGAGGGATAGGAAACGAAGGAGAAAGGAGGGGGCAGACTTGAGAAAGTCGGTGCTGTCGATGCCGCTGGCCATCATGACCTCCTTTTCGCGACGGTCGAATTCGTGGGCGATTTGCATGAGGTCGATTTCGGTGAATATAGAGTTCTGCATGAGCGTGTTGAGCGCGTGGACTGCGCACAACCCCGCCACCTGCTTCTCATGATACAACATCTCTGTCATCTCTTTCTATTTTGTGTTTGTTTGTGTTTGAATTTTTCTTGTTTATGTTGTGTATAGGCCGCTAGGGTGGCAGATGACGTGAATTGTCAACGAATTTGGCAGAAATACCAAACATTTTTCGGCTTCGCCAGGAGCAACACACAAGACAGAGCACCCGGGTGGCTTGCTGACAGCGGCGCCTTGACAAGGCTCATTGGATTGCGGACTGGCTGACGACTACTGCCCGCTCGCAAGCCTTGGAGGTAGTTGAACGCTTGCAAGAGCCTCAGGGAGGGAGAAGGCGTGGAGTGAAAAGGGAGGGCAGGAGTTTGATGGGAGACAACATCTTGAGGCTCACCGGTACGACATCGATCTCCAGTAAAAAAGGATGAACAATGAAAGGAGGGGGGTGGTTGATAATTGGCCCTGACGCTGCCCCGTCCCCCCTGCAGTGGTGGCCGGACGTAATCTCCCTTCACCACGCCAAAGCCAACCTGGTAACCTCTCGCTTTCGTTCTTTTGTTTTCCTTTTTTTATTTTGATTGTTTTCATTTTTTAAAAAATAAAATCGACGAACTGGAACAGGAGGAGGGGAGCTGGTGTGCGTGGCGCGGGTCGTGGTGGGCGAGAGCGCTGCCAAGTTGAAGAAGAAGCGCACCACGTCCTCCACCCGATGGACCCCCAACCCGGTCTGGGGCGGCGAAATGCTCACCTTGTACGCTCCTTCTCTTCCCAGCAGTCTTGAGCGCGTGCACTTCAGATCACACGTGTGCGGTTGCGTGTGTGCGTGTGCGTGTGCGTGTGCGGTGTGTTTTGTGCATGTCTGCGCGTGTCGTGTCGTCGTTCTGACGTCACTGGCGTCACCAGTGAGGTGGACGCGCATTTGGCGGGCCTCAAGGTGGAGTGCTGGGCCAAGGAGAAGAGCGGCAAGACCAGCCTGGGCGAGGTGATCGTCCCGCGGGCCTCGCTTCCGCTCAACTGCGAGGCCGAGAGCTGGTACACCCTGGCGCCCGGGAAGGACACCAAGCCGAGCAATCTACGCACATCCGCCTCGCCGGCCGAACTTTACCTGCGTCTCAACTACCAATCGGTAACTCCACTCTGCGTGATCGTGTGTGGTGTGCGGTGCGTGCGTGTGCGCGCGTGCGGTGTGTGCGGTGTGGTGTGTGCGGTGTGTGCGGCGACTCACCTCACTGGATCGTGCGCGTGTTTAGGTGCCGACGGCATCGCCAGTGAAGGACCGGATGAAGCTGCGGCGGCGCAGCTCGTCGCTGCTCCGGCGACAAAAGCGAAAAGAGCTCGAACGCATCTTCCCGCTTTCACCCGATGAAGAGCTCCTGCGCAGTACGCACTAATTTATATATATGTTGGTAATTTATTTATTGATTTATTAATTTATTTATTAGTTGCTTTTTCGTTCTCACATTTACGTTTGTGTGCTGGCCACGCGCAGCCAAGAAGTGCTATATGAGCAAGGAGAAGGGGCGACTCTATGTGACCAACCTCCACGTCGGGTTCTACGAGAAGAAGAAGGCCGGCGTGTGGCTCGAGTACCCCCACATTCTACACATCTCAGTCGAGGGCAGCGACCTCTTCATCACCGATCACAACACCAACGAGGTTCCCATTTCCCTCACCCGCCTCATTGGAGCTATATAACTCCGACATCATTGCTCACGTTGGTGCCGTGTGTGCCGTGTGTGTCGTGTGTCGTGTTGTGTGTCATGTGCGTGTCGTGTGTGTCGTCCACTCACGGTGCAGTATTGCTTTCACGAGGGAGCGAAGATCTACAAGGTGATCTACGCGTTGTGGCGCGGCGGCAGCGCGGTGGAGGAACTCGCCACCACCGAGGACTCGGACTCGCTCGGGAGCGACCCTTCGAGTCCGGGTCCCGACCCCATCCCCTACCCCCGAAGCATGAGCGATCCTCATCAGCCCGCCGTCTCCGAGGTGCTCTTCCTTGCTATTCGTTATCTCACCATTCTTTATTATTATATTATTTTAATATTATTCTGATGCTAATGAATTAATAGGGGAGCTCTTCGCCACAGGGAGCGAGCCCACCAGTCACCACCAAGCACAAGAAGTTCTCTTCGACCCGCTATCGAGGTACGCACCTCCATACATGTTTTTATCATATATCGAGCGTTGACGTCAGTTTGTCGCGTGGACCACCAGCGTTCAAGGGCGAGCTCAGTTCCTTGCGTACGCTGAGCAACAGCGACGGCTGCCTCCAATCCAAAATCGCTCCCGAGTACGATTGCTTTTTCACGTGTTTTACTTCTCGCTCGGAGTGGTGGTTCTGAATTCTGCTCTCGATGTGTGCGGTCGCGTGTGTCCTGTGTTCGATGTGCGGTGGTACGTGCCTTTCAGGGAGCCATCTGCTGCGCCGGGGAGGGTGCGGAAGCGCCTAAGCACGGGCCTCAGACACTTCCTGCGCCCAGCCGAAGTCGACAAGAACAACAAACAGCTGCACCAGCAAATGAGCGACTCCCAGGCCTCCCCCGTCGTCACCGCCGTCGTCGACCTCGACAAGAACAACAACGCCAGCGGCAGCAGCGGCATTATCCACGGCAGCAGCAGCGGCCACAACAGGGACCGCATCGTGTTCACGATGGAGGACGACGACCAGACCGAGGCCGTCGACGAGAAGACCATGATCGAGCAAGCGGCCAGCCACGCCTCGTCGAGCAACGACGGCCTGAACACCTGTCTGTACGCGTCGAGCGACCAGCCGCCACGGTCGGACCTGTACCGGCCCCGGGCCGACACCTGGGCCGGCCCGGGCCGTCGGTATGGTGGCAACGACGACGACGACGATGGCGACGATGACGAGACCAGCGACGAGGGCGACGAGCGGGACCGAAGGGCGAATGGGGCGAGGAGCGACGAGGGCGACGGCGACGGCGACGATGAAGATGAAGATGAGGAGAAGGAAGGGGAGGAGGACGTGGTGAGTCTGTCGAGCGGCGATAGCGACCCGCGCTCGCTGTCGTCGATCGCGGTGTCGATCGCGTTGGGCGCGCGGGACGACATCGCCACCGAGCAGCTGCTGCACTCGTCGACAGCCACCACGCGCACCACCAGCGGGATGGACGAGGAATTCGAAGAAGGCGAAGAGGCCCGGCGGGGAGAGGCTGACGGCGATGCCGCCGGCGCTGCCGCCGCAAGGCGCAGCCAGTCGCTCATCCTGCCAAAGCGGCGGTGCAGCAACGCCGGCATATCGACCAAGGGCGACCAGGGCACGAGCCAGATTCGTTTGCTGATCAAGCCCAGCAAGTCCGACCCCAACACCCTCGTCGTCAAAGGTGCCGCCTCCGTTGTTGTCTTTGGCTCTGGCGCGGGCTAGGATCTCAAATACGTCGTCGTTTTGTTTTTGTTTTTGTTTTTTGTTTGGTTCGCAGTGATCTCGGCGCTCAACCTGGACATCCCGCGGGGCTGCGTATGCGAGAGCGTCTTCGTGCAAGTCCAATACGCCCGACAGACCGAGAAGACCGAGGCCGTCAACGGGTCATCGGTACCTAAACGAAACCTCTCTTCCTCCCCACAAGCCGGCGCGGTTCTGATTGTGTGTGCGCGCGTGTCGTGTCGTGTCATGTTGTTTCGTGCGCTGCAGTCTTCGCTGTTCTTCAACCAAAAGATCAAGTTGTACGTGGACTCCACCCCTCGCTTCGATCGAAAGTTTACATTCAAACGAATGAATAACCAATACTTCGCCGTGGTGGCGTGTGCGTCGACAGCAATTGGATTGGGGGAAAGAGCGAGTTCATCGACGTCACGTGCTGGTACGTCGACCCGAAGCGCGGGCGGGACGTGTTCGTGGGCCAGGCCGTCGTGCCGCTGCCCTCGCCCGTGCACGGCGTGCGATCGTACCGCATCGACGGCTGGTACGAGCTCGTCGACCGCCGCGTCAAGGCCGTCAGCCAGCTTCGTCGGCGCATAGGCGGCGTTGTCCGCCTGCCGGACGCTTCGCCCCGGGCGCCCCACGCCACTTCCTCCGATGACCCCTGTACGGCCTTCTCTCCTTCCGCCTATCGATATCACTCACACTCGCTCACCACCTGCGTGCGTCGTGTGCGTGTGCGGCGGTGTGTGTCGTGTCATGCTTTGCATTCCGCAGCGGAGAGCGGGTCGGTGGTGGTACGTACGCGAGCGCTGAAGCGGAGCGGGCCGGACCTGCACGGGTCGGTGATCATCCACGCCACCGGGTCGGCCGACCAGGTGGGCGTCGCGCACGGCGGCGGTGCGAGCGCCGCCGACGACGACGAGCCCACGGTGCTCGAACAGCCCTTCACCGACACCGTCGAGTCCTACTCGTTCGACGACTGCGAGGACACGTTCGGGTTCGAGCGGTCGCTCAGCCCGCGGACGGATGACGACACGCTCTCCTGGACCAGCCGAGCCACCACGCCCCGAGAGCGATCGTCCGCAGAGGCAGCGCCGTCGCTGCGCCGGTCGCAGCAGCAGTCCAAGACGCCCCTCGCGAGCTCGGCCAACACGACGACGTTAGCACCATCGTCAACTACGTCGCTGGCGTCGTCGTCGTCATCGGCATCATCAGCGACGTCATCACCACCAACACCTTCGTGCCTGTACCTGGTGGTGGTGTTTGCGGTACTCCTCGTGGGTGCTCTCTTCGAGATCGCCAGACGAGATCTCTGACATGCGCCCTCTCACCATCAACATCACCATCACCATCATCAGAATGGCAGTGTACACTACTATCAATAAAAAAAAACAACATCAATCGGTTGCATGGCAATGGTCTTGGGTCTGCCTCACAACAGGAGAGAAACATGACATGCCACCACCAAAAATGGGAAATGGTCAACATCACCGCTGTAGTGCTGCGGCTTGCTCGAAAGAGAGACACTCAATACACCCGAACCAGGCTTGGCTTGCGCGTGTGGTGTGCCGGACGCTGCGTGTCAGCTGAACTGAACCACAGCAGGGCAACAAAAACGAGGGGGGAACTTGAAATCAAAGAAAAAAAGTAGCGGTCAAGTTGACCACATCTCGAGATCAGCCCGAGGAGAGAGCAAGAAGGGAGATTGAATCTGCGGGGAGAAGGAGAAGTAGAAGAAGGAGAAGAAGATGGCGCAGCACACGCAGCTTGCCCCGTTGGTCATTGGCAGAGGGAGAGTGCCTGCGGGCCAGCAAGCTTCCCAGACCGAAGCTGGCGGTGGTGAGCAGGAAGAGATGGAGGACCAGCTCGCCCCCGACGCCCTCGCCGTCTGGTCCGATGCGTGTCGGGCCGCTGGCCTCCCCGCCTGCTCTGTACGCCCCCCCTTTATTATTTGTTCTTTCTTTATTTATTTGATTTAATAGTCTTCCAATTTGTTATTCCCTGCTTTAAATAATTTATTTAATCACATTCGTTTTTTTCTTTTTAAAATGCAATTTAGGCGCGTTGCGGGCTGGTGGCGGTCTGCGACGCGCTGATGAATCGGGCCGGAGGAGGGAAGGAGGACCTGGGACGGGCCGCGGTTGTGCTGTGGGACCTCACGTCTGGCAGCGGCGAGGTGACGCGCGAGCACTACGCCATCTTTCTCAAATACTTCGGCTCCATCACGCGCTGCCTCGAAAAGGTACGACGCACGACACACACGACACACACGACACACACGACACACACGACACACGCTACTTACGAACTCCCCTGTGTTCGTGTACGACAACAGCTGCGCGACGTGATGACGAGCGGCGTGGAGTAAGCACTATCACTCTTCGGGCGGCTTGAGTGAGGACCTCTGAAGCTGATGTATCGTTCATCGTGTGTCGTGTCGTGCCGTGTGCGTGCGTTGTGTACGTTGACAGTTGGTTTCACGGGAATCGGGCGCGGGAGGAATCGGAAGCGCTGTTGGCGGCGGGCGGACACGAGAAGCAGTTCCTGCTGCGCTACAGCAGCAACGTGGGCGCCTTCACGGTGGACTACATTAAGGGCGGCAAGATCTGCCACTTCAACAACATCCGGAACGACCCCGATGGTACCCAGTCTGACGCCCGTCTTCGTCTCACCCGTTTACCCATCAGCCCAGTAACACGCACACACACACGCACACGCACACGCACACGCACACGCACATCAACCTTGACAGCGGGAATTGAGGTGATGGTGGGGCGACCGCCGGCGCAGCACACATACAAGTACTCCAACCTGAACACGTTCGTCACCAAGAACCAACACATCTTCGGCGAGCCGTGCGTCAACCACGAATCAGCCTTTCATCGGCTCCAGCTGCGCCTGGCCTCGGACGATGGCTTCTCGAGCCTGGCCGACCTCCTCCCGCTGCAGCTCAGTCGACCCGCCACCAGCACCCACCAACAACGTGCGTGTCGTTGGTCGTGTCGTGTCGTTGGTCGTGCCGTGCGTGTGCGTGTGTGTGTGTGTGTGTGTGCGTGTGTGTGCGTGTGCGTGTGCGTGCGTACGTGTGTGTGTGATGTAGCGATACTGATGTTTGAAGTCGTCACAGCGAAAAGCGAGAACGACACGTTCAGGGCGATCATATCGCCCAAGGTTCGTGGCCAGGCCCTTTGAAGACAACTCCCCGACCAACAACAGAGAGATGATTCGAAAACTCACGCGCGCTGCACAACGCAGGGCAAGACGCCGCGGGATCTGGCGGTGCCGCGTTCGCACTCGGATCAGGAGCGGACGCAGCGCCAGCGCGAAAAGGTGGCCTGCCTCAGTTACTGCAGTGAATGCGTCGCTCTTCGTTCTTCTTTCTTTGCTCATCTCGTCTTGTCTCGTCTTCGCTCTTCCCCCCCCCGCCTTCCAGAGCGACAAGCAGGCCAAGAAGGAACACAAGAAAGCGAAGCATAAAAAGGACAAAAAGGAAAAGGGGGCCGAAGGTACCGCATACACCGCACACACCGCACACGCACACGTGTTGACGTGTTGACGTGGGGACCGCGTGTTTTCAGTCAGCAAGTCGTGGAGCTCCGATGCAGCGGACGTGTCTCTGCGCATCAAGCAGTCGCTCAACCTGGCGGGGAAGACCAGCCGACCCTCGCTCGACCTGCGCTCCATGCACATCGGGCCTGACCTCCCCTCGGGTTCGTACCACGTGTGCGGTCATGCGTGTGCGGTCGTGCGTGCGTGTGCGGTGTGTGCGGTGTGCTAATGATTCTTTGTGTGTGCGACAGCCGTGTGCGAGCTGCGCAATCTGGTGAGCCTGGACCTGTCGCACAACAACCTCACGGAGCTGCCCGACGCTCTGGGCACGCTGGAGAAGCTCGAGACGCTGGACGTGACCGACAACAAGCTCACCCACCTCAACCCCGCCATCTTCAGCGGCGGCATGCGACGGCTGACCTCCTTCATCTGCGCCGACAATCTCCTCACCACCATCCCCGACACCCTCTTTGAAGGTACCTTATGCCGTGTGTGCCGTGTGTGCCGTGTGCGCCGTGTGTGTCGGGTGTAGTGTCGTGTGCGCTCACAATAGCGGGGGTGATCAGGTGTCGGGCGGTACGCGTTGGCCCATTTGGACTTTTCGTGTAACCAGCTGACGAGCGTGCCCAAGTCGGTCTCGAAGCTCAAGTACAAGCTGCAGTTCCTCGACCTCTCGCTCAACTCCATCGAGAAGCTGCCCCAGGCCATCACCAAGCTCACCTACCTCGAAGAATTCTACATCAAGGTAATTACTACTTATTATTCTTTATTTCTCAAATTAGTAAAATGAGTGAATTTTATAAATTAATTTATTCTATCTTGTTTATATTTAGATTATATTTATTGTTTTGGCTGAATTGTAATTGTAACTTTATAATTCGCTTATTTAAAAACTTAATTATTTTATTTTATTTTTTGCAGGGCAACAAGCTGCGTCAGCTGCCGCGCAGGATGAGCTCGATGATCTCGCTCATGGTGCTGGATGTGGCCGACAACCAGCTCCACGAGGTGCCCGACGAGCTCTTCCTCCACACCAAGGCCATGCCCGGCTTCGTCCTCATCACCTCTGGCAACGCCCTCGACACCAAAGGTTCTCTTCGTTCTTCGTTCTTTGTTCTTCTTCCTCGTTCGTTTTTCATTCTTCTTCTGACACTAGTCTTCGTGTTGCGTGCGGCGCGTACGATGGTGTGCGTGTGCGGTCGTGTGCGATAATGTGTGTGTGCGTGTGCGGTGTGGCGTGTGCGCACACAGTGGTGGACGCACGCATGGTGATGGTGCAGAAGGCCAAGCCGCAGAACCAGTCGGTGCAGGACCTATTCGACGTCTACAACTTTGGGCTCAAGTACGACCGGGGTGGCGAGGGCTCCCAGACCGCCGCCGCCGCCCTCTCCAGCTCCGGCCGGGTGCCCGCCCTCCTCCTCGCCTCGCCCAAGGGCGCCCAGCCCGATCTCAAGTCGCCCAACTCCAAGTACGCCCCGCCACACACACACACACGACCGCACACACCGCACACGCACACGTTGATGGTTGTGCGAACGTAGGGGCGATGGGCCGAAGCCGGAGTGTGTGCTGGCGCGGCTGGCGGCCGAGTCGGTGCACATCTCGTACCTGCCCTCACTATGGCGGGCCACCCCCGGCTACCGCCTCGAGCACGCCATCGACACCGACGCGCCCCTCGAGCCCGACCGTCAGCGCGACGACGCCGACGTCGACGCCGGCGACGAGTCGTGCCACTCGATCCTCTACGAACACAGCACCATATTCGACTACCGCCGCTTCTTCCACCTGCGCACCGGTGCGTTCCGTGTGTGCGGTGAGCGTGTGCGGTAAGCGGTGAGTGTGTGCGGTGAGACTGACGCGCGTGTGCGGCGCAGTGCACACGAACATCATCGGAAACGAGAAGCGGCTGGGTCCGGTGTGCGTGTCGATTCAGAAGGAGCTCAAGGACATGGAGCCCGAGGACCCCTCCAACGAGGCCCACTGCAAGACGCCCGGCACCTACCGCGTACTCATCCGCACCGTCCAGGTACCTCGCCCGCGCGTGTGGTGATGCGTGTTGCGTGGTGCGTGTCGTGTTGTCGCGCGTGTGCGGCGGTGCATGACACGACACGACACACGGACAGGGCGACAGGGTGGCGGAGTTGCCGACGGCGCTGGTGAAGCAGCGGAAGAAGGAGCGCTACGCGCGGTCCAACGACCTCCTGCAGGCGGTCAAGAAGCACCTCGACGCCAGCCACAAGCTCAAGTTCTCCATCGATCAGCTCTACGTCATCCGGTACACGACACGACACGACACGCACACGCACACGCACCGCGACACGACACTCACCACGACACGCACCGCGACACGACACGACACGCACCACGACACTAATTCGTTGGTGGTGAAAATTAGGGACGCGGCTTCACATGAAGCCTTTGCTGAACTCGAAGACAAACTGGTACGTACCTCGCCCTTCGCAGGACTGCAGCTGCCTGGCGCCACTCACTGCTGCGAGTGCGCGACTCACCCCCACTGGACCGCACACACGACACGACACGACCAACGACACGACCAACGACACGACCAACGACACGACACGACACGACACAACTGAACAGAAAGTGAATTCGTTCAAGTTCGGGGTCCTCTACGCCAAAGAGAATCAGGACGAGATTGCCATGTACAACAACCGTACGCCTCGCCCGCTCCCGCGCCCGCTGCCTCTTTCTTTTGTGGCCCACACGACCAACGACACGACACACACCACGACACACAACACGACCCGCACAGAGGAGGCCAGCGAGGGCTTCGACAATTTTGTGTCGGTGCTGGGCGACAGGATCCAGCTGGAGGGGTGGACCAAGTACTCGGCCGGCCTCAACACCAACCGTACGCCCGCCACCCTTCCTCCTCGTGTGTGCGGTGCGCCTGCGGTGGTGTGTGTGTGTGTGTGTGGTGTGTGTGTGTGTGTGTGGTGTGTGTGTGTGTGTGTGTGTGTGATGCGCGCGTGCGGTTGTCGCTGATGGTGAGGACGGCACGCGCGTAGGCAGCGGACAGTCGGTGTACACGGTGTTCCAGGGGCTGGAGGTGATGTTCCACGTCTCCACGCTCCTCCCCTTCCGGCAGCGCACCGACGAGCTCGGCCAGCAGTGGGAACGCAAGCAACACATCGGGTTCGCTTCGCCCCGCTCTCGCTCGCTCGCTCTCGGCGACTACTGACTGTGCGTGCGTGCGGTTGGCGTGTGCGGGCGGGCGTGTGCGGTTGGCGTGTGCGGTGTGTGCAGCAATGACGTGGTGGTGATCGTGTACTATGAGGGCACGTCGCAGCTCGACCCGGCCATCTTCGAGAGCCAGTTCAATCACGTGTTCGCCATCGTGCAGCCCATCCCCGGCTCCGGTACGCCCGATGCGCGTGCGACGAGCGGTGAGTGCGGTGGGCGTGTGCGGTGGGCGCGTGCGCAATGGGTGGAATCTGATGATGATGGTTTGTCGCGGCAGACCCGGTGAGCTACCGGTTACACATGGCGTACAAGGATGGCGTGTCGACCCTCACCGACGTGCGACCGCCTCTGCCGGCCCGGGCCACGCTCAAGCACGGGCTCGGCCTGCGCGATTACCTCCTCACCAAACGTACACACCGCACACACCGCACACGCCCACCGCACACACCGCACGCGCGTGCGCCAAGTGCAATTGGATTGATCTTCGCGATCGTGAGTGCAGTTATCAACGCGGAGCGGTGTGCGATGAGCGCGGAGCGCTTCCAGAAGCCCACGCAGCGTCTGCGCCAGATCCTCTTCAGCGAACTCCAGACCCGCTTCCCCAAAGCCACCAAGGCACAACACGACACACGACACACGACACGCGCCGAAACTGACACTCGCACGCACGCACCGCCTCACACACCAACAGCAGGAGGCGCAGAAGCAGCTGTTCTCGCTGCCCCGGGGCAAGAGGAAGTCGCGCGACGGTCGCGTCGCGGCGGCGGCGGCGGGCGAGTACCACAGCCTGTCGCCCGGGCGGGACGACGCGGCCCAGGGCTACATGGCGCCCGACGCGTCGGGCGACTACTCCCCGCCCATGGCGTCGTCGCCGTCCGCGTCCTCGTCATCGTCCGAGTACATGACCCCCGACGTCGCCGCCCGCGTCGCCCGCGAGCTGGACAAGGCGCAGCGGCAGTGATCGCTCGCTCGGGCTACTCGCGTGTGCGTGTGCGGTGGTGCGTGTGTGCGACGTGTGCGTGTGCGGCGTGTGCGTGTGAACGTTTTTCGTATGTTTTTTGTACATTGTTGTTGGTTGGCGATCGCGTGTTGATCAGTAATCGACAAGCCTAAATCCTCCTCCACCTTCGTCGTCGCTGTCGTCTTCTTCTTCTTCTTCTTGGCTTTCTTTCGTCTTCTTCTTTTCGTTGTTGTCCTCGTCGCGCTTCTGCTTCTTCGCGGCCTCCGTTGTTGTTGGTGTGGTCGCCTTGATGACCCCGATGGTCGCCGTCGTCTTCTTCGTCTGCGTCTGCGCGGCTGCCTCGGGCTGCTTGCGCTTGGGCGTCACCTGGATGATGCTCACCCCCATGATCCCCTTCTTCTTGGCCGGCGCGGCGGTCGCCTTAGATGAAGATGTCAACGCCGACGTAGAGGAAGAAGAAGTAGAAGATGGAGATGTGGAAGTGGAAGAGGTGGTGGAGAGGAAGGTGGGAAGCACGAGCGGCTCGGGCTCGTCGGCGGTGTAGACGATGGTGGCACGTTGCGCCTCGAAGCGCGCCAGCTCGTCCCGCTCCTCCTGCTCGCGCAGTGCCAGGTGGCGCTGGCGCGTAAGGTCGTACTCGGCAAGGAACGCCACGTCATCTTCATCCAACGCCTTTGGTGGTCCTGTACGTACGCCACAAGAGATGCGAATTTAAATTTGCATCTTCGCATGGATTGGAAAGAGGAGATGATGATGGAGCGTTGGGGGGGGGGCGCATACGGAATCGGATCTTTTCTTTGAAGTCTTCTTCGGCGCGGTCCCTGTTAGACTGCAGCTGCTCCCAGAGGGGCTTGCGCGGCCCATCGGGCACCGGGGCGCGAGGCGTTCCGCCAAGCTGCTGCCGCTCCTCCTCGAGCTGCTTCTCCGACACGAAGCGACTCCCCGTCGCCACCGCCTCCACCCACGACGTCGTCGACCCCTCCCCGTCCATGTAGCCAGATCAATCAAAAAGACAAAAATCAAGTTTGTGCGTTTTCTGTTTTTTCTAACCCTGTGGACGCACTCTTTCCCCTGTATCTGTGTCGCGACTAAAAGATAAAGGCACTTATGGGGATTGAACCCATGACCTTCAGTTTACAAGACTGACGCTCTACCACTAAGCTAAAGTGCCCTCTCTACTTCAATTCCCCCTTCATTATCGTGGGGGATGCCACACTCAGGGTTGCTGGCGCTTGTGTTGAGTGCGACGAGGGTGCGCTGACTGATGAATGGTTGATCATGGCTGGATGCTCGATGTTTGTACAGACAAGAAAGTTACAGCTGTTTGTATTCGGCAAGAAATCGAGTGTGGTACAGAGACAGCGAGAAAAGTAGAGGTAGAGGAGAGCGGGAGACCAAAACAAAAGGAGAGACGAAGAGAGGCAGTGCGTGTAGAAGGAGAGGGTCATCTCGCTCGCGCACTGCACTGTCTCTCCTCGTTCCCATTTCTGTATCGCCACTCAGTCGATAGTCGCCATTCGCTTGCTGTCCTGGATCGTCGTCGATCCCCCATTGGTTCCGAAGAAGTAGTAGATTGTAGATGTAGAGGCGGGGGAGTAGAGACGCACGACGATTCGACTTGGAGCCGGGGTCGGGTCTAGCGCTTACTCGTAGTACTCCTGCTGGTAGCCACCCTGATCGTAGCCGCCCTGCTGCTCGTAGCCGCCCTGGTCATATCCACCCTGATCGTAGCCGCCAGCAGCAGCGCTGTTGCCGCCGCCGTACTCGCCAGAATCGGGAGTCGATTGGCCCCAGGCACCACCGGCCGCGGCCTGGGTGGAGGAGGGGTTGCTGGCGTACTCGCCCTGGTCGGCCTTCCTCTCGGATTCGAACGACCTCACCTCGACCTGCGCGGGCGCGTAGTGGACCGGGCAGTAGAGGGTACCCTCGTGCGACTTGAAGTTCTTCAGGTTGAGCGTGATCTTGCACACCGAGCACTTGAAGCACAGCTTGTGGTAGTTCTTGCCGTTACCCGGGCTGATCTTCTCCACGGGGTACACGGTCTTGTTGCAAACGCCACACTTGGGGTTCATCTTTTTGTGTTGATGAGATGTGGTGAGGAGCTGGTGGTGGTGTGTTGTGGGGGCTGCGGTGGATAGGCGAAGTGCGGCGTCGACCGAGTGTGCAGGCGAAACCTGAAGAGTCGAGTGTTGAATAACGAAAGAGACACGCAGCCCCCTTTGTAGCGGCCCACGCCACCGGTGCCACGGAGCCCCCAAATTACGGTGGTTGCCCTTGTACGGCCAAGCCCCCGCCCAATCGCGCACTGGCATGCTTGGCATCCGCCACTCGTCGTCCTGGGCCACGCGCCACGTCAGCCAACTTCGCGTCGCCTTGCACGCAGCCACACGAGCTCCCAAATAAATGAAAATAAATAGCAAAAAATAAATACCAAAAATAAGACTAAATGAATACCGAAATACAAATAATTTGTGAATAAAATAAACAGCAAAACAAATAAATATATTGAAAAAGAGTTCTTTTCTTTTCTTTCTTTCTTTCTTTCAAATTCTGTTTCAATTATTGGTTTGGTTGCTGGGCGGCGAGGAGGGAGGCCGACCGCTTCCTCTTCTCCAGGCGCCACACGAGCTTGGAGTACTTGGTGTGCGGGTCCTTGTGGAGGAGGTAGAACTCCAGGTCCTTCATCGTTATCACCCGCGTATCGAACCGCGACCGCGGCTGCAGCGCGCCCGTCGCCACCGTCAGCCGGCCCTGTCGACGCCAAAAAGAAAAACACGACACGTGACACACAATGAGTCGCGCATGACACGACACACACGCGGGAGGGCGAATGTACGGTTTTGGGGTCCAACATCATGGGCACCTTTCGGCCAGCGAGCTGGTCGGCGAGCTGCTTGAACTGCTGCATCCGCCGCAGCTGGTTGAGGAGCTGCTCGAGCTGCTGGGCCTGCTGGGGCGTCAGCTGTGAGGCGGCCTTGAGCTTCTGGAGGGCCGTGAGCTGGTCCAGCATCTGCTTGTTGAACAGCGGCGCGCGCAGGTCTGGCGGCAGGCCCAGCCCCGGGGCACCGCCGCGCCCGGCGCCTCCCGCCGCTCCGCCCGGCGCCGTTGGGGTGCCGCCCTGCATGGCCCTTCGCGGCCTCACGTCGCCGATCGCCTGGTCCACGCCCAGTGCCACGTCAGCCAACGGCAAGCAATAACGAAGAGAGCGAAGAAAGAAGAACGAAGAAAGAGAGGAGGAACCTGAAGGGCTGTCAAGTTGGCCGTGCGCGTTCGAATCTTTTCCTCTTCTTCGAGACGGGCCTGGTCCGACTTCTTCTTTTCGGGGTCCATCTTCTTATCCTTGAGCGCCCGCTCCTTTTCCTCGGCGTCCCTTCGCTCCTTCTCCTCCTTCTCCCTCTTCTCGATCAGCTTGAGCTGCTTTCGCGGGTCCGACGTGATCTCGATCTTCATCTCATCCTGCCCATTCCATATATATCCCAGCTAAGCATTAGCACATGCGCCGTGTGTGTGTGTGTGTGTGTCATCGCGTGTTGTGTTGCGTGGTACCTTGTAAAAGTCGAGGCGCTGCTTGGAGATATTGCCGAGCTCGTCGACGACGTCCCTGAGGCGATTCTGAGCCGCCAGAGCCAGGAATTCATACAGCTCCTCCGACACCTTCTTGATACCGTGCTTGGCGGCTGCTCTCGCACGGTGAGAAAGACAGGCAGCGATCAGGAAAAGCGCATACATGTCGGGGCAAGGAAAATGAAGACGAAGAAGATGAAGACGAAGAAAATGGAAAAGAAGAACGCACCGATCTCGGTCACCTTCTTATGAAGGGCTCCTTTATTGATGAACGGGCTCTGCACCTCGTCGGGCGCGTGCGCCCGCTCCTCGCCTCCCGCAGTACTGTAGGTGGGCAAAAGCGACGCGGTCTCCTCCTGCATAGCATGGGGAGGGGGAACGTTAGCCGCGACGCGCAGAGCGCTCTGGTGAACGAGGCTATGAATGGTGCGTGCCTTCAGGTTGAAGCCGGCCATTCGCGTGACATCGGTGATGTCCTTGACATTGAACTTGTCGTCCAGGGGCTCTGCCTTCTTGGGCGGAGCGGCCTTCTTCTGTGCGAGTGCCCCACTGCAGGTGAAGATTGTGTGTTGTGTGTGTGTCGTGAGTTTCGTGTGCGGGTGGCATGCAGGCTAGTGCGCTACGTCGAGACGCGAGGCAGCGAGCAGTGGCGCAGTTCGGCCCCGCTATATATACCCAGGTGTGCCTCCGGGCATGCCCATGGAGGGCATGCCAGCCTGCGGGGAAAGAACTCCGCCAGGCGGCGCGCCTGGTGTATCGATGCGCGGCTTTTTGCTGGAGATGATTCGAAGCCGATGATATGTACGAATAGGGCACGATGTGAATGAACGTGCAGGCGTATAGGAATGTATACTAGTAGAGTGCGATAGCGCGTGATTATCATCATGTGAAGAAGAGGGTGGTTGTACGCAGGAGGTTGACCGGGGGTGACTCCACCCGGATTGATGGTGACTGACGTTGTGCCTGCGTTCTTGGCCGCGTAGTAGGCCGCGTACTTCTGCGCGTCCTCGCCGGACGTAACTACAATCGCACCACATGCGCACCAATGACCATTGGTATGTGTGGTTCACAACCATTCACACGCTTCTCTCGAGGGAGAAGAGCCAGCACGGCAGGGGGTTAGGGAGTACTTTTGATAGCCTGGAGCTGGGGATTGTAGAGATTTCCCTGGCGCAGTTGCGTCACGGACACCCCTTCGGCGCTCTGCTGTTGGGGCACGCCGCCAGCGCCGGCCTGTCCTCCAGCGGGCTGCAGCTTCACATGCATGGGGATCTAACCACCCGTCCACCCACCCACCTGTCAGGTCTCCGCCGGAAAAGCACATACGCAGCACGGCACACGTTGATGGGAAGAGCTGCGGTGCATGACGTACCCCACCCATGGGTGTGCCCTGGGGCTGTCCGGGTCTCGCGATTTGCTGGCCCGGCGTTCCCTGCTGAGATCCCGATGGAGCGCACGTTAACACCCTCAACACAAAAGTGTGTTACGGCGAAGCGGCGGCGGCGGGGAGATCTGAGGTACCTGAGGCATGCCGGTCATGCCCGCGGGCATGGGACGACCCATTGCCTGGCCGGGTGTGCCGGGGGTCGGCTGGCCGGGGACACCGGGCGGCTTGGGCTGTCCGGGAGCCACGCCACCCGGGGCTGGTCCCGGCGCCCCGGGACGCTTCTGCGTGACGCAGCGCGCGACCACGTCGTCTGTGCGGCGAGGAGGAGGAGGAGGGTCAGTCGGTTGAAGAACGAAGTGCATCGCTTTCGTGGGGGCACATCAGGCGGGGGCTTTTTGCGCACCAGCGATCTTAGGGCTGAAGGCCTGGGCCAACGATGCGCGTAGTTGCTCGGCGGTCACCTCTCCTTTCTACAACGCCCCAGAGCAAACGGCGTTCAGTGGCCAGCCAGTATGAGAGATGTAGAAAACTATCGACGACGGCCTTTCGCAGGGCAGAGCCACGCACGACTGGGCCTCGGTATGTGAAGAGCGGGGGAACGTACGCGGTAGCGGGTGACGTGGTGCTGTAGGATGGCCTGGGGAGACGGGACTTGCTTGCCCGGCGTGCCCCCCTGAGGTCCCACCCCGCCGGGTCCAGTCGGCGCGCCAGTGGGTGGTCCCGGCTGCTGCTGCTGCTGCTGGAGCATGCCGTGCTGTGGCGTCGATGGCGCGTGTGTGGGCGTAGAGGGCGCCCCTTGCATGCCGCTGCCGACAGGCGCCCCCATAGATGTGGGCAGGCCGGCCCCAATGGAGTGAGCGGCGGTAGCTGGACGTGGCGCGCCCGGCTGCTGCTGCGGCACGCCTTGCTGTTGCTATTGTATATCGAATTGTGATGAGACATGCATCGAAGATGGTCTCTACTCGATTTACGATTTTGGACGTACCGAATGATGAGGCTGATAGGACGGCACGGCAGATGGAGCTGCTGGTGGGTGGGGGTGATGAGCCGCGGGGGCGTGATGGGGCGCGGCAGCCGCTGGAGGAGGAGGGGCGGCAGGCCCCGCCGAGAATTCCATTTTCAAAGAGGCGGCGAGCTGCTCCACGGCATCCTGTTCGTTGTTATCCCCCTCCGTGCTCCCGAACAGCAGGTGCTCGTGATCCATCTCTCCCCTCTCTCTCCTCTCGTCAATCTCTCCACCCAACGTTCCAATCAATAATCGCAAAAATCAATTTGTCTCTCATCTGTCATCTTATTTATTCTTTTTCGCCTCTTGCTGACGTGTAAACCTGTCGACCACCAGCTCCTGGCGACCTCCAGCCAACCTTGAACTGGTTGCCGTTGGGAGTCGAGTCTGGGTCACTTCTCGCATCCTGCTTGCAACGACGGCGTTGGGTCCGTGTGTCAGCCTTAGCTCAAACTCAGCACGCGAAAGACGTCAGGCGAAGAAGATGGCAGCATCATCAGCATCAGCAGTAGTGGCAGAGAATGGCGGCAGCGGCAGCAGCGAACTGTGGAAGGCGGTGGCGGCGAGGGAGGAGGATTTGGGTGAGGTGGCGGCCAGGCTGAAGGACTGCATGGGATGGGGCGGGGCCGGGCTCGAGGCCGTGGGCGAAGATGGGACGACCCCGCTGCAGAAGGCGGCCAGCTTTGGGCGCAGCGCGTCGGTGCATCTCCTGCTGAGCCAGGGCGCCGACCCCAACAAGCCCTCGCCGTCTGAAATCTACACCGGGTAATCACCTCAGCTCAGCTCAGCTCATCATCTTCTTCGACTCTTCTTCTGCTTCCACCTTCCTAGCATCAATTGATTTATTTTTTGTGTAAAATGTGACGAATGCATCCATTCATCATCCAGCTACTCGGCCCTGCACTACGCCTGCGGGCGTGTGGGTCAGGAGGACTGCATGCGCACCCTGCTCGCCGACTCTCGTACGCCCGCCTCTCCTCTTGCGTGTTGTGTCGTGTCGTGGTCTCATGCGCGCGTGGCACACAGGCACGAACGTCAACGCGCGCAATGCCAAGGGCCAAACCGCGCTGAGCGTGGCGTGCGCGCACGGCTCGCCGGGCATGGCCCAGCTGCTGCTCGCCCACCCCGGCATCGACAAGCGCGCCACCGACAACGGTACGCACACACCGCACACACGACACGGCACACACCGCACACACGACACACATGACACGAACTGACGGGTTTTTGGCTGAACGTCTGCAGACGGCGTGAGCGTGCTGATGCTGGTGGCGGCGACCGGGCGCGACCAGTTCCTCGACGTGCTGCTGCAGGACCCGGAGATCCGCGCCACCATCAACGACGCCGACAAACACGGCGACACCGCCCTGCACCACGCCTTCCAAAGTAGTACTCCCCCGCACCCCCAAACCTCGCACGCGCGACCAACTTACTCACCGCACACGCACAATCGCACGACCGCACACGCACACACACGATCGCACACGCACACGCACGACCACACACACGACCGCACACGCACGACCGCACACACAGTTCAATTGCAGAGATTTTTCAAGAATGCGTATCCGGTGACGCCGGTGCAGGAGGCGCTGGTGTATCGGCTGGTGCGGGCCGGGGCCGACCTCAACGCGAAGAACAGGGACAAGCTCCCGCCCCGCTACTTTGCCTCGCGCCACTACAAGGCCCTCCTCTCCAGTACTCTCCCCCCGCTCCCGCACCACCCGTGCGGTGTGTGCGGTGTGTGCGGTGTGCGTGCGTGTGCGTGTGCGTGTGCGGTGTGTGCGGTGAGAGTGGTGTCGTGCTCACACACGCCATGCAGGTGTGAGTGCGGTGGTGAGTGCGGGCGGGGAGCTGCCGGAGTCGCTCGAGGGGCTGCTCGAGAGCAGCGGCGCGGAGGGTGGTCTTGCCGGGGTACCGGAGGGCGAGGCGAAGGCGGGCCTGGTCGCGGCGCTGGCCAAGTACCGATCCGAGCGGGAAGCGGCGCTCGAGGCCCAGGCCAGGATGGGCGGCTGCCCGTTCGTGCCGCTCCAGCCACGCAAGCGGCCGCCGGCCGGCAGCGACAACGAAGACGAAGACGAAGACGACGAAGAAAGCGAAAGCGAAAGCGAAGACAGTGAGGAGGAAAGCGAAGACGACGAGGAAGAGGGCGACAGCAGCGCCGAGAGCGCATCGGAGGGCACCGCCGGCGCCGGCGGCTCGCCACCGGTGCCCAGCGCCGCCGCGCCCAGCGGGCACCCCAGCGTCGCCGCCGGCGCCGACATTAGCGCGTGCCCCTTCTTCCAGAAGCAGAAGGCCGCCACCGCCGCGGCTGCGGCCGCCGTTGCCACGCCCTCCGCTGCTGCGACCACCGAGACTCAGTCGAGGCCCACGACCCCGGCGGAGGCGGTCAAGCCGGCTGCGGGCAAGTGCCCGATTCCGTTCCACCACGAACTGGCGGACCGGCGGAACTGGGCCTTCCTCGCCATTCTCATCGTCGCCGTCATCCTCGCCCGCCTTCTCTAGGGACGCCCACGTTGTGGAAGAACGAAGACGGCAACGACAATGTTTTGCCTTTGTATTGTGAAAGAAGAGTTGAAGGAATAGAAGACTTGGTTGTACAGAAGAACGAGGCGCCTCTTATTGGCAACACCATGCACAGAACATCATCATGTGTGGTGCGCCCAAGGCCTTAGGGCTGGATGCGAAGGATTCGCTGGCGCGGGGTGGTGGGTGCGGCGGCGGGCAGGGGCGAGCAGGCGGCGGGCGGGGGCGAGGCCAGCAGCAGCTGGTTCTCGAGCTGCCGCGCTGGGCTCCAGGTCGACGCGGCAGCCGGGGCGGGGGCGGGCGGCGGCGGACCCATCATGATGACGCCCGACGACGGACCCTTCATGAACGGCTGCGACATGGGGTCCAACGACGACGGGAAGATGTTGGCTGCGGAGGGCTGGAGCGCTAACGGCATCAGCGGAGGTCGCGACGGCTTCCACGTCGACGATGGTGAAGACGATGAAGATGACGAGTCGGCCGACCTGTTCTTCTTGTTGTGGTGGCTGCTGCTGGATTTGGACCGCTTGGCCGGCGGGGGAGTGAAGACGACTGACGGCGCCATCGGAGACGAGGAGCGCTGCGCAGGGGCGGGCAGGATGGGCGTCACGTTGAACGGCACCCCGTCACTCGACGGGAGGGGCCGCTTCCCGGCCACCACCACCTGATGATGCTGCTGCTTTGTCGTTGCCGACGGCGACGTCGACGGGGCGGCCGTGGGGATCACCATGGGCCCTCCGCCGGCGCCAAAGAGGGACAGCGGCAGCGGCAGCGGCGCGAAGGGGTGGGCCAGCGGGCTCGGCATCGGCGAGAGCGGCGACGTCATCGTTGATGACGACCATAACGACGACGACGACGACGAAGATGACGGCGGCGGTGAAGACGACGATGACGACGACGACGACGAAGTGGGGCACGGCGGGAGGGAGAACGGGCGGAAGGGCGAGAGGGGCGGTCCGTCGAAGCCGGGGAGGGGCGACGACAGCGGCGACGTCACCGGAGATGACTCGACCGATGACGACGACAGCGACGGCGGCGGCCTGCGCTTGATGCGGCCACCCATGTGGGGCGTCGTGCGGGACCGTACGTGGCTCGGCGGCGTCGCATAGATCTCCGTCTCGGTCGTGGTGGCCGATGTCGTCGTCGTCGGGCTCGGCGGCGATCTGGGCGTCGACGTGGACGTCGACTTCTTCTTCTTCTTCTTTTTCTTCTTGTCGTGGGCCTTGACCGGCGTCGACAACAACTGGGCCTTGGTCGAGTCGCCCTTGCCCGGCGACTTGTCCCGGCCCGGCGGGGACTTGGACCTGCTGCTGCCGCCGCCGGACGACGACGAGCGGGCGCGCCGGGCCAAGAGCTCGCCGGCGGCCACGTCATCTGTCGACAGAGCCGACGACGAGTGTCGACTGCTGGCGGTGGAGGCCTTGGGCGCCAGCGCCGCCTGCGAGGTGCCGCCGGGGTGGTGCTCGGCGGCGCATTGGCAGCAGCAGCTGTGCGGCGGCATCGTCACCTCGTCGCGTTCTGTTTTCAAGTCCATGTGCGGTGGTGCGTGTGCGGCCGTGATTAGACGTGGCTCGAGCGCGAGGGACACACACGCACACATCGCACATCGCACACGCACAATTCTGTACCTCGTAGCTTGTGGATGGCCTGGAAGATGATCTTGCGCGGGCCCATCTTGGTGATGCCCAGCGTCTTCAGATCGCACTCCTGCAGGTACCGCACCGACACCAGGTCCAGCTCCTCACTGCACCGCGCCCATTGGGTGGTGGATTAGTTTTTTATCATTATTTAACCCAATCGGAAGCTGCCAGCAAAACCACTGCAGCTGCGTGGTCACACGACACACACGACACACACGACACGACACGACACACACGACACACACGACACACACGGATATGTGGGCAGTGCGGCCGTACTCGGTGAAGGCCTGGACGTATTGCTGCGGGTCCTCGAGGTCCAGGGACGAGAGCCATCGCGTGAGCGAGTGGTTGCGCTGCATCTCCTTGGCCTGGAGTAGAACGATAAAGAAATGTTAATCGACTGTTTGTGTCGTGTCGTGTCGTGTCGTGCCGTGCCGTGCCGTGCCGTGCCGTGCCGTGCCGTGTCGTGTCGTGTCGTGTCGTGTCGTGTCGTGTGACGTCACCTCTTTGATGAGGTGCGGGTGGATGTGGCGCAGCAGGACCACGCCCGACTTGCCGCCCATGTCCGCCGCCCTCACGCAATGCTTGATGCCGTCCACCGCATATCCTGCATTCCACACAATCAATCCAATAAATAAAATAACATAAAACAAAACAATAGTCTCTGGCACATGTGCGTGTGTCGTGTCGTGTCGTTGGTCGTGTCATGTCGTGTCGTTGGTCGTGTCGTGTCGTGTCGTGCGGTACCCTTCTTTTCGAGCACGGTGATGCAGCCGCGGGGCATGGGGATGAAGAAGACCGAGTTGGTCATCGAGAAGTCCTTCGAGCCGAACGAGAGCCGCGAGTCGGAGAAGATGCGGAGGGTGTGGATCGGCCGTTTGAAGCGCTTCTTGTCGTCGTAGTGCTGGCCCAGGCCCTCGGTGCCGTCGTGGTAGATGTTCATCGCGAACTCGTTGACCCACGCCTCCTGCACGATCCGGGACTCGACCAGCGGCCGCTCGATCAGCTGCCGCATCCAGAAGGGCGGCTCGGCCACGTCGGCCCGGATGCCCTGCGCCTGCGTCGAATTCGGCGAGGCCATCTGCTCGGCCGTCCACAGGTACCGCGCCGAAAAGAAGAACTTGGTCCGGCACAACCTATGCCCACCGCACACCACACACGACACGCGCGCATCAATCAAAACTGAACCGCACGACACACGACACACACGACGTACCGGTCGCCTTTGCGGGTGCATTGGTAGGTGTTGGGCACTTCGTCGTATTTGCCGTTGCGCGCGTCGGCGTCGGTGGCGTCGGCGCTTTTCTCGATCTGGCGCAGCTCGGCATCGGTGAAGAAGCCCGTGTAGGTCGTCACCCCCACCGGGTAGCCCAGCTCCAGATTCCCGCTCTGGCTCCGCGCCGGCGGAAGCCTGCCACAGCGCCAAGCAACGCGGTGAGCCACCGCACACGCACCACCGCACACGGCCGCACACGCACCGATCGTCGTCTGACTCAGCGCTGGCGTCTTCGAGGTCGTCGTCGTAGTCGTCGTCGTCCATGAGCGAGTCCTTGGCCGCCGGCTTGTTGTGCTTGGCCTTGACCCCCTTTTCCGTCGGCTTTCCGCTGCTACCGCCGCCGCCGCCGCCGCCGTCGGCCAGGGCCGGGTTGTAGGAGAAGATGCGCGGGTTGAAGTTCTCAGGCTCGCGCTCGCGCGGGAAGTACCACTGGGTCTTGGTCACGCGCCGCGTGGTGCCGTTCCAGGTGAGCGGCATCACGGTGCTGACGGGGATCAGCTGGATCCGGAACACGTCGCGCTGGCCGATCAGGCACAGCGGGTAGTAGCGCCGCTTCTTGCCAAAGGGCGAGGCCTGGACGTAGGGCGAACCAGCGGCCGACGACGAAGGCGGCGACGACGCCGCGTCCGAGGGCGGCGAGACGGGCGACGAAGGCGAGGGCGGCGACGAAGGCGAGGGCGGCGATGAAGCGTGCTGCGGCGGTGATTGGCGCGACAGGGGAGACGACGACGATGATGAAGATGAAGACGACGATGGCGATGGTGAAGATGAAGAAGAGGAGGGAGGCGATGATGACCCGTTGTTATTGCCCTTGGCCTGCTCCTCCTTCTCTTGCTGTACGCCCATCAGGTTCCATCGTTTGAACAGCAGCAAAAACTCGTCCTGTAATCGTTTCGAAACAATTACAATCGTGTTTAGCTTCTTGCTTCTTTGGCAATTCACCGTTCAAAACTGCGCGGAGAGAGGGAGAGAGAGTACCTCGACCAGCTGCTGGATGTACTTGAGCTTCTCGTGTTGCTCCGTGCCCATCCGATCCCATAGCGTTTGCTTGGTGACCTGTGTGTGCGTGTGTGTGCGCGCGCGCGTGTGTGTGCGGTGGTGCGTGTGCGGGTGCGTGGAGTGAGTCCATCGGAACTCGCAATGGTGCCCATCATTAGCGGCGAGGGGACCACGTACGTAGACATCGAGGCGCGCATTCAGCGTGTTTTGGTGATTGAGACTCAACACGCGCTGGTTGTACAGCTTGTTGGTGCCTCGCCTGAGGTCGAGAAGCACACGCCGACGGTGAGCGAGTTGTCTCGGCACGCGTGTGTCGTGTCGTTGTCGTTGTCGTGTCGTGTCGAGAAGGGGTGCACCTGATGAGCAATCCGATCTGGATGTCGCTGAGTTCGGTCGAGCGCACGGGTTCGATGTCTTTGCGATCGAGAAGCTCGCACTCGCCGGGAAGGGCCAGGGAGCCGTCCCGCCGCTTCGCCAAGCAGGGCAGCACCAGCGCGCTCGGGTCGTATTTGTAGTGCAGCACGAAGAACCGGTCCTCGCACAGCACATCACGGAGCGCCTCCAGCCCCTGCATCACCTCCACTCTCTGTCATGTGGTGTGTGTATGTGTCGACACAATGGTTTCAGTTAAGGCCGCAGTTACACGTCAGCAGGGTGCAGAGTGGTTTGCACCTCCATGATCTCGGCCCTCTTCTCGGGGAAGAGAAGGTACTCGCGGCCGAGGTTGGTGTCGCCGGTGGAGCCCGGGTAGATGGCCAGCACGGCCCGGCCCCGGCGGATGGTGTTGACGAAGGCGTCGGTCAGGTGCTGCGCCGGGCTGGACGCCACCAGTGGCTGGTAGACCACGTGCGGCAGCGACTGGGCGCGCACACGACCGCGCTTGTCCGGCACCTCGCCCTGCTTCGACTCCGTCTCCACCACGTAGCACAACCCGCCATACGAGATCTAAAGAGAGGCTCACCCGCGTCAGTCCATTTTACTGTTTTAATATTATATTCAAAGAGATTTATAATTATTTAATTTTATTTATTTTTGTCTATAAATAAGGGAAATAAAATCATGTTTGGAATTTCTTGTGGAATTGCTGGCTCATTCTTCCCACGTGCCAGACTGCCATATTTCGCATTCCATTCCATTTCGGTAATTTGTCGGTCTTGTGACAAAGAGCGACACACAACGAGACGCTGAACAAAGATGGTCCTTGGATGCGATGATGTGTTCCCGGTGGCGTGAGCGGTGCGTGAAGATGACGGTGTGTTGAGTGTGTGTTGGAAGGGAAGAGGAAGGAGTGTGCACCTTGTTGCACTTGGGGCACTTGGGCAGGAGCACGCCCTCGCGGTCGGGGTAGCCGTGTCGGGCCTCGCGCATCCACCACTCGTCGCAGAGGCCGCACCGCTCGCGTCGGCTCGCGCCACCGCTGGGCCTGCTGGCGGGCGAGGACTGGTGCTTGCCGGTACTGCTGCTGGCTCGCGGGCTGTGGCTCGGCGGCGGCTGGTGTGGCGGTGTGGTGGCTGGCTCGAGGTCCATCATCAAAGAAGAACCAAAAGAACCAGAAGAAGAAGATGTGGATGAAGAGGGTGGCGGTGGTGGCACGCTGAATGATGAAGAAGATGAACGGAAGGAGGGAGGAGGCGCAGGAGGCAGGGGCCGGATGCCGATGGCAGGAGGCAGGGCCAGACCCCACGGGGCGGCGGGGCCTCGCGGCAGAAGGGTCGCCAGACCAGCAACAGTTGCTGAGGAGGAGGATGGTGATGAAGGTGGTGGAAAAGCTGAAGAAGATGGGCTGGTGGGGTAGAAGTGCTGCATCATCTGTTGCTGCATGATGAAGTGGTTTTGCTGCTGTTGCTGCAGCTCGGACAGGGTCGGCTGCTGGTAGTGGTGCAGGCCCAACGGCAACGATGCTGCCTGGATGGGCGACGAGCCCGGCGTTGCCGAAGAAGAAGACGAAGATGGTGATGACGGCGGGTGGCTTCGTCGGCTGCTGGACGAAACGTACCCTTCTTCCATCTTTGCTGGCCGAGGCTGTCTATCTACCGAGTACCAAGGGCAACAATCTGCTGTGTCCGTGTAGCGCCACAAATCAGGAGGTGGAGATTAGATTAATCTGTTGCGAATGGCGAAAAAAGTGGGTGAAGATGATGGAGAGAGACACAAATAGACTGACGAACCCCTGCAGCAGCAGCAGCTCGAGTTGGAAACAAGCGCGTGTGCAAGAGTGCCACGAAACGAAGAACGATAGAAGATGGCACTGACAAGAAGAGAGGAAGAGGGGATCAAAAACGAACGAACCGAGGCCCGGAAGTTGGAGAAGGGAGAAGGGACCACCGTGCCGGTCGGGAGTGAGGAGTGTCGCTTTGTGTTTTGACTGGAAGAGAGGCCCCTGGAAACGGACAAGACGCACCAGAACACCCCCAACAAACACCGATCGGGCTGTTTCCACGAGTTGCCTTGTTCGTCCAGGTGGTCTTCACCAATCCAGCCGGCCCGATCAACCGTTGATGAGGTTGACACACCCAATGCCCACCACCCAGAAGAGGCAGGAGTTGGTGTGTCTGTCCAGCAGTTCCTTCCCCCGTAGAGGTTGCTGCCCACCTCAAGATCTTTCTTCAACAACGCAGTTTGGGTTTTCATGGCCACCAGGGGTTGGTTGGTGTTGGCTGGTTAGCAGCTACGTAACCGTGCCCTAGGAGACCCCAACAACAAGCGGCCACGAACAGGCGAAAGATCTGATCTTATCGCTTGATCTTCTTCATCCTTGTTTGGGCTGACATAGCTCCAGGTGAGCCCCTGTTTTTCTGCACCAGTCCCACAACTCGTTGGGTGTGTTGGTGCGTCGGGCCACTTCCCAACAGCACGAGGAATACCCGCGGGGCGATGGAACTGGAACCATGTGGTGATTAACTCCATCTTCTTACCCCTCTCCCACCTTCTGTGAGAACCTAGGCGCGTTGCGGGCCTAGCCGACGCACTCGCGTTCGCGTTCCACCTCACGTGGTAACGTTCTTCCTTGGTGGACAAGAAACGCGCCAAACACATTCCTTTTCAGTGCCACACACACCAAACATCTACATGTTTATATATTTATTATTAGTATAAGTTTATTTATTATTTATCTTTATTTGCCCGCCTCAACGCAGTGGGGGTGTAATGTACACAACACAACCAGCCAGCTCTCTCTCGCCTTTCTCTCGCCTTCTCCCTCTCTCTCTCTCTCTCAGAGGGTGCGGTAGAGGCGGTCGACCTTGGGCCGCGCTTCGTTCTTCTTGTCGATTCGCAGCGCCCGCTCGAACACGGACAGGTCTGGACAGACAACAAAAGAACGTTGAGCAAGAAGACGAAGACGAAGAAGAAGAAGACGAAGCAAAGGACATGGGTGAGGTGGGTGGCACGTACTCCGGTCCATGCGCCTCTGTTTGAGATCCTCGACGGCCTCCTGGGCCGGAAGCTGGCTCACATTCTCCTCCCTTCGTGTGTGTGTCGTGTGTGTGTGTGGTGCGCACCACCAATCAGCCCCAAACGTCTCAAGACATAGCAGAGACGAAGAAACTGAGCGCTGTGGTTGGAACTGACCTGAGCTTCTTCATGATGATCATGAGCTTGCGCACGGTCTCCACCTTCTTTCGTATCCGCTCGGCGTGTCTGTTGGTAGAAAGCTCGGTCGTTAGTTGGCGCGATTCCAGGCAGTGGTCACGCGGCAAATATCCAACAAGTGAACAGTGTACAGCGGTAGGCCGTACTCTTCCTCTGACGCGAAATCGGCGGCCATTTGCTCGTCTTCTTCGACCGATTTGAGTATCGTGAGGCAAAACTTGGACACTGCGTGCCCGCGTGGTCAGTAAGAAGCAGAAGAAGAAGACGACGAAGAAGAAGACGACGACGACTGCGTGTGTGCATGTGCGGTGGTGCGTGTGCGATTAATAGTAATGTGCATCATATATGACAACGTACGTTGTTCGGCGATGAAGGGGAAGGAGAACGTGATGCCGTTCATAAACTGCGGGAGGTAGGCCGGGTGCGTGGTCCACGAAATCTGCTTGAACTCGTACTTGCCGTCCGCTTGCAACCACATGAACGCTCCCTACGCACGACACACACGACACACGGGACACACGGCACACAGAACGACACGCACGATTTCTTTCAGCGAATGCGTGTGGGGTGAATGAGAGGAGCGTGGGGGTACCTTGTTCTGGTAGAGATCGCAGTAGTTGGGGGCCGAGAAGACCGTGATGACGGGCGGCACGCGTTGGGTGGGATTCTCCGTCTCGTCGTCGGCGGGTCGTAGCGAGTCCTGCTTGAACCAGTGCTCGGCGTACCCGTACTGCTGCACCTCGTGCGCGCGAATCACCGACAGCAGCTGATTCGCTTCCTGTTGTGTGTGTGTGTGTGTGTGTGTGTGTCGTGTGTGTCAGCAGTCAGCTCGCTTTGGAGGCGGTGGGTTGAGGTGGCGGGGAGGTGGTTAGGGTGGTGCACCAAAAATTCTGTGACTGCCTTGTAGCCGTAGAGGTAGCCGCAGCCGCGGTTCCGGTTGGAGAGGTAGGTCACGGTCTGGTGCTCGCGCGCGTTGAGATCGTACTGGTCCACCAATGGATCCGACCACAGTAAATCACTGCGATGTGATTGGCAAGTCGATAATAATAATAAAAAAACAACAAAACATCTGAGCCGCCAGCCACGAGAACAAAGTTACTTCTTAGCAATCACGCAGTACCAGAACGCTCCTTGGTCGGGCTGGCATGAGTCATCCCCGAGTTGTCGCAAGCGTAGATTCGTGTTAGCAACACGCACGCCATCGCACACGTGCATGCACCACCGCACACGCACAACCGCACACGCACCATCGCACACACACATGCACGCCCACACGTACCGGCTCGGAGAATCGGTCGAGTTTCTTGATCTCGTCGACGTTCTTGATGAAGGGCGAGAGACCACCGTGCACGGCCAAATACTTGCCCTGCTGGGTGTCGACGACCGCGGCCAACGGCAGCGCATCGAACATCTCCATAAACTCCGTATAAATAGACTCCTCGTACTTACTCTTACCTGCACACAGCTCACCACGTCAGCAAACCAAACGCGACGTGTCGCGTTGCGTGTGTCGTGTCGTGCGCTGCTGTGGATTGTACATTCGGCCTTGAAGTTGAAAAACTCGGCCAGTTGTCGGCACTCGTGGTTGCCGCGCAGCAGGTGGAACGTCTGCGGATAGTTGATCTTGCACGCCGTCAGATAGAAGCACACCTCCGTCGAGAAGCAGCCCCTGTGGTCGACCACCACCGACACGCACACCAAACGCGCGTCAGCACAATGGTACCCCTCTCACGGGCATCGATCGATGGTTTTGAGGCCGGACCTATCGACATAATCGCCGAGGAAGAGATAGGGCGTGTCCTTGGGCTGACCCGCCGTGTCCATCAGAGTGAGCATGTCGTAGTACTGGCCGTGCACGTCTCCGCAAACTTTGATTGTTTGGGTGGTGGTTGGGTGGTGGGAGCCGGGTCAGTGTCAGGCGACCACATGCACAACATACCCCCCCCCCCAGCCAGACTCGAGCTGGGGTGTCGCCCACCACCCACCTAGGGGTGACGCAAGGGAGGCGAGGACGTACTGGCCAGCGGGCCGGTGATTTGGAGAACGTTGGGGCACGCGGCAAACAGGGCCTTGCCCTTGGCCAGTATCTCCTTCGCCAGATCGATTTCCAAACGACCTGGCCGGTGGTTGGTTGGTTGGTTGGTTGGTTGGTTGGTTGGTTGGTCATCAACGTTGGGCCGGGTGGTGGAGTCACCACACCGGTGTGGGCCACATGTGCTGCGCGCGTACCTTCTTCGAACAGGTGCTTCCGCAGCACCTGAAGGTTGGGCACGCTGCGGCTGCCGAACAGCTCCTCTCGCGTCAAGCGCGTGCTGCGAGCGACAGACGAAACTAAGGCTGACAGAAGCAATAGGGGGGAAAGGAAAGAAAGAGAAAACGAAACGACAACGACAACGAAAACGAAAACGAAAGAGAGAGAGAGAGAGAGAGAGAGAGCGTGGTGCACACGTACTCTCGGGGCAGGGGCAGGGACTTGACCATGCGCTCTGTGGTGGGCGCGTTGCTGCTGGCGAGGATGGCCTTGAGGTCCTTCCACGACACGCCGAGCGGGAGCTCATGCTGCACGCCCCTCCCGCCGGCAATCGTGTAGTTGCGCAGCTGCGCCTTCTTCTTGTCCTCCTTGGCTGGCGTCGATAAGAGATCAAATAAATAAATAAGTAAATAATAAAATAACACAAACTGAATGAATAAATAGCGCAAGTGAGAGTACCCTTTTGCGGCGTCGTTGGGGAGGCGAACGCGGGTATCGGGTCTACGGTCGCTGCACACGAAGAAAAAGTGAGCAGTTGCCACGTGGGAACACGACACACACACGCGTGTGCGCACACAGTCACACGCAGCACACGACACGCAATGCAATCTGTGATGCTCAGAGGACCCACGTACTCTCTGGGCGGGTCTTCTTGCGGTTCATGGTGGGCGAGGGCAGCTTGAGCTTGCCCAGCAGGGTCGACCCCTTCTTCTTCCCGCCACCTGCCGCCGCCGCGGCCTCGAGCTCTTTCGAGTGCTTGGAGATGTCCTTCTTCGCCTGCTTCGCCGCCCGGGCGCTCTCCCGCGGCGACAGCACCTCCTTCCGGGGCTGCTGCGCGTTGTTGCTGCTGCTGCCGTTGGTGGTGGTGGCCGCTGCGTTGCTCTGCAGGGTGGCGAGGCTGGCGATGGAGGCCAGCGGCGTGGACGAGCCCGCGGTGCTGTTGAGGAGCGAGGCCACGGGCGACGAGGCGGGACCGCCGCCGGACATGTGGGTGACGAGCGACTGGAGGTCGAGGAAGCTCTCGCGCTTCATGAGGTCCTTCTCGTTGGCCTTCTGCAGCTCCTCGAGCTCGAGCAGCGCGCCGCGCAGCTTGGCCCGCTCCTCCTTGGTCTCGCCCTCGCTGCGCGGGCTTTCGCAAGGCGACGTCGTCGCTCTGTCACTGCCGCTGCCCAGCGCGATCATGCTGCCCGCGGCCGTGCGACGCGGCGAGTTGCGCGGCGACGTGCGCTGGCCGCCGCCGTCGCTGCTCTGGCGCACCGACTGGCTGCGGCGCGGGGAGACCAGCGGCGCCGGGTCGGCGCCGTCCGCCGAGCTCGCGTGGGACGTGGACGACCGCGGCGACGTCTTGGGCGGCGAGGTGCACAGCGAATCGGCGGTCGGCAACGATGAGAATGGCGACGACGTTGGCTTCGGCGGTGGTGATGAAGAAGACGAAGACGACGAAGAAGACGACGACGACGACGATGAAGAAGAAGAAGATGAAGATGAAGGAGAAGAGGAAGAGACTGGGACAGGGTCGGACACAGAGATGGAGCGACGCGAGCCCGAGGGCGAGGTACCGATCTGGGCCTTGAGCTCCTCGCGCCGCCTGCGTCGCTCCTCGAGCCGGTTGAGGTGCTCGCGCTCCTCCTCCTCGCGCTGTCGCCTTCGCTCCTCGCGCCGGGCCAGCCGCTCCTCGCGCTGCCGCTCGTCGTCGCTCACATCGGGCGCGGGCGCGGAGGCGGCGAGAGCGCTGGTCCTCCCGCCACCGCCCGACGGTGGCGATGTAGGTGGCGACAAACTGCCGCTTTGGTCTTGCACCTGCGCCCATCGCACCGCACGCACACCGCACACGCACATGACACATGGAACACAAGAGATGACAAATAAGAAGTAGAAGCATAATGAAATGGAAGATGGAAGATGGAGGGGGAAGAAAAGAAAACGAACCGATTCGCCACGGGGCGAGGTCGCGCCCTCCTCCCATTTGCGGCTGATGAGTTTGGTGGCCCGTTGCCGTCTCTCGGACAGCTCTCGTCGTCGCTGTTCCGAACGCGTTTCCATCTCTCGCGTGTGTAGAAGAAGTCAAAGGGCTGATTTGCTCTACGCGTTGGAAGATGGACGGCCTTGTAGGGTTGCCGGGGAAGAGGTGATGAGATGAGGGGCTCGCGGGAGATTCAGGAAAGGCAGAATGCCGCACGAGGGCCTTCTCACCCTAGAGAGCGCGGAATCGAGTCCTCGGCTCGCCCCTTCTTGCTTTAGCTTGAAGATCAGGAAAGGGAGAAGAGAAGAAGGTAGCTTGGTGTTCGGATGTCTGCGCGAGGTGGTGGTTGCGGGTCCTCCTCACGAGTGCACCGCCTCCCCAGATCGCATTATCTTTTCTTTCCCATTTTCCCTCTTCTCTCCTCCGGTACCTGGCAACAAGAAGCTGGCCTTGTTTGGCCAGCTTGTCCAACAGTGAGTGCTCACTGCTTTATCAGCTTGGGAGTGTTGGAGTGCTTGTTAAGCATGCTCTTGAGCTGTGTATGGCCAAAATTCTGCATAGGCACCACTGAAACAAAAATGATGAGAGTAGGATGGGAAGATTGCTAGAGGATACCCTCAGGTTAACTTGTGCTCATGTGAAATGGACTGAACTTCATTCTCCATATTTGTGCTGAATTGGAGCACTATTCCTGAAGATTAAATTCCACCACAACAGCTCCATTTCACACTCATAAATCACTTTTAACTCCACAAATTCCAGGTTTTTGTGAAATCTTTTGGATCTCCAGTCCTCAATATCAGTTATCAGCCACAGTCTAGCATGTCAAATCTCACACAATTTTAGCACAACAAAATTTCCATTGTGACATCTCATTTCAAAGGAGGACAAGTTCTTTGTCATTGGTGATGCTCTTGACAACAGGTTCAAGGTTGCTGTTGCAGGCTGATGGAACGTTTGCCATGGCCACCACTGACTGGGGAAAGTGCATGCTGGTCTGCCAGCAGTGCTCCACTATATCACCACATCTACTCCTCATCACCAAAAGAAGGTGAAGGCAAGTTTTTGTTTATGTGTGTGGTTTGTGCATCATGTTATCTCCTCATGCCCCAAAACAAAAAGCCAACCAACTGTGCATTATTAAAAAGAAAAAATTATTTTTAATAACGCCCAATAATAAGTGGCAAGAACAAGTTTCATCACAAGCACACTCCTTGCCACTGAGACAAAGAAGAATGGGAAGGCCTGCTCAGGAGTGTGACATCAATCTGCCAGAAGGGGCAAGGAGACCTTCATTAAGCAGTGGAAGAGGGCTCACAAGACTATATTTTACCAGGCCTTGTCGTAGAGCTCGCTGCAGATGTAGTCGACTGCGGTCCTCGCCTTGATGTGGTCGGGAGCGAACCCGCAGCAGGTGCTCGTCTTGAGCTCGTTCACGATGTCGAACGGCACGAACACGCCGCCGCACTGCGCGTTGCACAGGTTGCTGTCCTTGTAGATGGAAAAGTTGAGGTTCTGCGAGTCGGCCGAGATGCTGAGCGACATGCTGCAGCTCGCGTTCATGCAGTTGAAGGGACTCGCGATGAGCTTGGCCTGGAGCTTGGGGCAGGTGCTGTTGTTCATCGGGCCGAACGACTGCGCGCAGTTCCCGTTGCACGACGAGGCGATGTTGATGGTCGTCATCTGCTGCCCTGCCACCACCGCAGCCACCACCGCCAAGAGGAGCACCACCACGAAGGACCGGTCCATCTTCATCTTTTAGTTCGGGCAGTGGTCTGGTTTTGTTGTCTTCACCTAAGTTTCATATCGGGGGTCACCCGCGCCACCATTGGTCCGATTTATGAAAGTCGACACGAAGACGACTCATGAAGACGTTGGTGTGGAGGCAGAAGAGAGGCGGTGATTGCGCTGGGTCCAGGCCCATTGCATGGCCCAGATGGCGAGCGGTCGCATGTGGCCCAGGGCTCGATAGTTGCCGCTCCCATCCCACGCCTGCCAACCACAGCGTAAGCGCTCACGAAACACACACGTGTGTGCGCGCGTGTGTGCGGTGTGTGTGCGAACCTCGGGCGTGCGGAACCAGTAGCCCAGGTCTTCGTAGATGGACCCGCAGACGCCGGCAGCGGTGATGAAGGCCTGGTCGACCAGCCCTTCGCCCATCATGCACGCCGCCAGCGCGAACGTCGTACCGGGCCACGCCTGCACGGTCGTCGTCGCCGCCGCCGCCGCCGCAACTCAGCCAACTCAGAGCCAACCAACCTCTCTCGGCACTGCGGTGACGAAAGGGGCGCCGTACCTCGGAGGAGTGCAGGCACGCGTAGTCGACTCTGCCGTCCGGTCGCATGCCGTTGACCGCCCCTCGCTTGCCTTCGTTGAACTGTGCGCCGTGCGGGTGTCGTATGTGGTTAAGTGGAGAGTGAGTGGCTGGGTGTGGACGCACAGCGCTGGTGTGTGTGTGTGCGTGTGCGTGTGTGTGTGTGCGTGTGTGTGCCTTCTTGACGTTGTTGGCAAAGACGGTCTTGAGTGCGGTGACTATCCGCTTGTCCGGCGCGATGGAGGGCAGGCCGCACGCTCGAGCGTACCACTGCCCGCAGAGCTGATCGGCCTGGATGCTGTCGTGATGCGTGCTCGTCGACGTGTCATAGTTGAAATAGCCCTGAAACGTAAACGCAAACGTTTCAATGTATTGCAAATGCAAATGTAAATGGCGAGCGCTGAAGCGTACGCTGGGGTTCCACAAGGACTCGTTGTAGACGCGGGCCGCGGATTGGTGCAGGTCGCGGTAGTGCTGGGCGACCGAGTCGTCGGCCAGCTGCAGTGCCTGGGCCATGGCGCACGCTGCGCTCAGGGCCGCCACCCACAGACCACCGCTGTACGCACTTACTCCCGTCGCACTGCAGCCAACGCCCGCCACCACAGTTGAGCGAAAGCATGGAATCGACCCTAATGGCGCCGGCGCACGCGGGCGATACGTACGTCCAGCTGTGGTAGGTTTGGTCGGGCAGGCCCTCGTTCTCTATCATTCCGTCCTTGTTCCTGCGCTGGTGCGTGAGTGTGTCGTGTCGTGGTCGTGGTCGTGTCGTGTCGTGTCGTTGGTGGTGGGGCTCACCTGTCGAATTGCTGGAGGTGGCGGAGGGCGGCGTCGACTGCGGGCCACACATCGGCCAGGAAGCGCTTGTCCTGCGTCGCCACAAAGTCGCGGTAGACCCCGAGCACGAACTTGCTGTTCAGATCTGCGGCTTCGGTGAGCTCGGTGGAAGGTGAGAGGTGCGAAGCCGGGAGAAGGCCCAGCTTACCCTTCCAAGAGGAGGTTTCGTGTATGTTGTAGGCGTTGAGCGCCACCCAGGGGTCGTCTGCGGGCGTGCCCATGTCGTACGGCACCGCTCCTCGCACCTGTTCACGACATCCACAGCACGCACGCACGCGGTACAGGCCTCGCGTAAGCGTGGGGGAGGTAGAGGCAAGTGTGTTGACAATGCACCTTGTTGGGCGCCTGCCTGCCGGTGGCCAACACGTCCACCATTCTGCTGTCCTCGCGCAGCGTCGCCCTGGGTCATCGGCGAAACAAAGAAAGAAAGCGAAAGAGAAAGAGCGAAAGAGAAAAGTGAGAAGGAACGACGCGGGGCGAGCCGGGAGTCTTAAGACGCGTACGCGGCGACCTCTCTCTGCAGGGCGAGCTGCAGCTGCGGCCAGTTGGCGATGAGCGCAAACGAGGCGTAGAAGAGGGCATCGCTGGCGTTGTAGAGCCGGTGCTGTTGGCGCCAACCCACATGCGCGTTAGAGACCCACTCCCGCAGCCGCCCGCCTGAACACAGTTGTCCCAGCGGCTGGGCGGCACTGCGTACCTCTTGGCTCTCCAGGCACGCCCAGCGGCCAACGTCGCTCTGCTCTTCCTCTTGGCCATCGGTCTCGCGCTTCTCTCGTCGTGGCTTCTCTTCCTTCGCCGAAAGTTCGTCCTGCAGCCACACCGTGCCGCCGCTGACAAGGCAGTACAACTCATTGAACAGCGCGCTCTGCATCGACATTGCGTGCGTCGTGTGTCACCGTGTGCGTGCGTGTATGCGTGCGTGTGTGCGTGCGTCGTTAGTGCCACAAGTGTAGCCATGTAATCGGCTGCGTTGGGGTACACTGGGGAAGCCCAACGCATTAATATAGTGTCATTACCTTGTACCTATTTATCAACGTCAAATGAGTTACACATCAACACTCAAGAATGTAGGGAATGCGTGAAATACGTTGGAATGCGGGGGTGCGTACCAGCCGGGAAGGCGTTTGTCGTCGAGAATCGGGGCCTGCCACTGTTCGATGAGGCGCTCCCACTGCGGGTACTGCACGAGGGCGTCACAGGCCAGCTGCGCTGCGCTGTCGCCGTGCTGCGAGTAGAAGCGGGTGTAGCGCCGCGTGTAGCGTCGACCCGCTCCGAACTCCACCACAGGATGGTCCCACGCCAGCGCAAACTCCACCTGCGTGTGTGCGATTGTGATTATCACGTGTGCGGTGTGTGCGGTGTGTGCGGTGTGTGTGTGTGTGTGTGTGTGTTGGTCGCACCTGTCTGTGTTCGCCGGGTGGGATCGTCACGCGGACGGCGATGGCGGCGCCGAGCGTCTGGCCCTCCTGCGAGGCCTTGCCCAGGGCGTCCCAGTTCTCCTCCAGCGCGCCGCTCCGCTTGAAGTCCTGCAAGGCCCAGGGTTGGTTAGTCGGGGCCGATCGCAATCTCGACAGAATGTGTGGCGCGGCCAGGCGGATGCGGGTGTGGCGTACCTTCCACACCTCGGCCCCGTCCGAGTTGGTGGCCCAGCACGAGCGCACGGTGATGTGCGCGTCGCTGTCGGGCGACGACGCGGCGATGGCGAACGACAGCGGCTCGCTCGAGGCGTGCGTCTTCCCTCCACGCTCGTCCACGCGCCACTGCGTGTGGTCCATCACCACACCTGTTATGGTGTCATCTCCTGCGCGCATAGCTTCGTCAGCACTTTAATTAATCTCTGACGTTTATCATTAAAAAATACCTTATTATAATAAATCAAATAAATTTATAATTAATACATATTAAATATAAATAAAATAAAAGGCCGTACGTTCGGGGTGCGGTCGGGTGAAGGGGGTGTTGGCGTGGCCGCCCAGCGCGTCGGAGGCGGCGCCGGTGCCGTTCTGCCAGGTGAACATGAGCGACGCGGTGATCTCGTCCTCCTGGTCCAGGTTCTCGAGCGTCCACACGAAGACGCACGCCGGCAAGCTGCTCTCTTTGTAGTTGTTTCCTATGACCTGCACACATACACGGGGCGCGATCGATTGGCTCCAGTCAACCGCACACGCACACGCACACGCACACGAACAGGGGAAAACGTACGGGTGAGATCTGGCGAGAGGTGAGGCGCAGCCGCGGCTCGGGTTCGTCGTAGACGGTCCACGCGCGAGGGAAGAGCGCGCTGTAGTAGCTCTCCTCGCCCACGAACGACCAGTCCCACGCACCCAGCCTGCTCTCCCAACGGCCCACATCAGCTCGCCACCATACCACACACGACACACACACACACACACACAGCAACCGCACACGCCACACCGACATTCGCGTACCGGTCGGTCGGAGGTATGCCCGGGTTGAGCACCGTGGCCTCGCTGTCCTCTGGTGCCGAGTAACAAGAATGAGAGTTACCGGTTGCGCCTGAGGTCTAACAACACACACACACGAGACACACGACACACACGACACACACACAAGGTGGCGGACGCGGGCGGTACCGCCGTCGGGCTCGATGAAGACGGAGAACTGGTTGGCGGGCACGACTGGCGCCTGGCCGCGGCCGTTGGGAAGAATGAGGCCCGGCTCGAAGTCGCCGCGCCAGCTGCGGCCCACGCAGCCGCCGCCCATGCCGCCCGCCGGCAGTCCGCTGCTGCTCGCCTGCCCGCCGCTCGCGTCCAATACCGGATCGCGCCCGCCGCGCTCCTCGCGCGCCTGTCGCCACAGCCTGCATGGCGTGTGCGTGAGTGTGTGGTGTGTGTGCCATGCGTGTTGTCGTGCATCAGCAACCGCGGCACGACACGACACGCACGGCACACACGCACAGGCTACATGGTTTGGGGGGGGGGCTGGAAGACCTGAAGCCGAGGGGCAGGTTGCGTAGGGTGTGGAGTAGCGGTGCGGTGAGGGGGCGCAGTTGGCGGGTGGGCTGCTCGCTCAGCCGCCGTTGCCAGAGGGCGTCGGTGGCGGTCGGCATCTGGGCGCGCTCCCTCGTGCTCTCGGGCACCTTGATCCTCTCCCCCTCCTCCTGCTGCCCACTTATGAAGCAGTGGATCATTTTATTCTATTTTATTTTGATGTATGGTGATCTCCCTAATCGCTGTAATGCTCTCGTCTCCCGCTAATCTTGCCTTTGGTGAAGTGTTGTTGATTATGAATTAAATTACTTTCTTGGTGTTGCTGCTGACGTGAAGATGAAGATGGAGTTGGGTGTGTCTTGATGGGACTGCAGAAGGTTCGGTCTTGAAATTCTGATGAAAGTGACCCAGAGCTCAACGGACCTCTGCTGGGCTAATGCCCATCATGAAGGAGGATCATGGGCGCGCAGCTTCGGCGATGAGCTTGCGCACGATGGGCTGCGCGTCGAGCTTCTCGAGGGCCTGTGCCACTGGCATCGGCGTGCTCGCCTGCCACGACACGAAACGCACATGACACACGACACACGTCAGCTGATTGATGCAACACGCACACGCACGAACGCACACGCACACGCACACGTAGGCAAGAGAGTGTACCAGGATGAGGGCGAGAGGGACGACTTTGCTGCGGCCGGTGGTGGCGGCCTCGAGGTGGCGCGAGATGGACCGCTCGGTGATGTCGCTCGTGAGGTCGTCCACCAGGTAGATCGACCGCAAGATGCACGTCGTCGCCTCCTCCTGCAAAAAAAGAACAAATAATTATGAAAAATTAAAATAATAAATAACAAATATATATATATATAAATTAGGTATATATAAATTAGAATAATTATTACTACGTACCGTTGAGACGCCCATGAGCTCCGAGACGATGTTCACCGAGCGGTGGAACAGCTTGGTGTTGCTCACGGACAGGTCTGGAGACAATGATGTGTGAAAGTTAAAAACAATTGGTTGAGCTAGCGAGTGGCTGGGGCGGAGGGAGAGGGAGCGAGCGAGCGAGGTGTACCGATCATGCGGTTCTTGTAGACCTTGCCGATGGCGACGTGGGCGTAGGTGGAGATGGCGTTGAGCGCGAACTTGGCGGCCAACTCGCCGAACGAGCGGAGGCCCGGCACGATGTCCACGTAGGGCACCGCGACCACAGCGCACACGCGCACGGTCTGCGTCAGGAAGCTGCGCAGCTTCGTCTCCTGCGCACATTCCATCGCACACACCTTAGCAACCTGCGTGTGCGTGTGCGATAATGCGTGTGCGGTGGTGCGTGTGCGTGCGGTGCGTGCGACGTACGGTCTGCAGCCTGCGGGCGATGAGGAGAGCGCTCAAGTTGGCGGGGGTCTTTCGGACCTCCTGCAGGAGGCGCTGGATGTCGGCCGTGGCGGGGTTGGCGTCATCGTCGAAATCGACAAACAGAACGAGGTCCGCGCTGGTCAGGTTGGGCAAGGCCTCCTTCTCGAAGTCGTCCCACGAGAGGTGGAACTTCTCGCTGACGCTGGTCAGGTCGCCATCTCTATTACCTTTTGGCACCACAATATTATTTATTGTTTATCTCTCTCAATCTTCAATACTATCAGGAGGAATTATTGTTGATTATTATTATTATTATTGAGAATATTTGTAAATATATATATATAATTCTTGAGCGAAGTAGTGTACCCATGTTCTTCCAGCCGTTGTGGACGAAGGCCTGCACGTCAGTGAACTTGGAACCGAATGTGGGCGGGCACTCTGCGGGTGTGTTGTTGGGTTGCACGAATGACGTGAGTAGGGCGCACAGCACTCCATCTTACAGGATTCAGTCGCACCAGAGGCGTCGATGGTCGTGAGCACGGCAATGCTGCCCGTGGAGAGGTAGTAGACGTGGCCGCCCTGCTTGAGGCTTTCACCGGCCGCGACCATCAACGGGGTCACGTTCTCGAGCGAGTTGTAAGCGCCCCTACACCACAGCATTCAGCACGACACACGCGACACACACGACACACGCGACACACACGACACACACGACACACACGACACACACACGACACACACGACACACACACGACACACAATACGCATGAGATGAATGCCAGGGCCTGGGCAATCAGGAGCTGTGCGGGGCTTGCCTGTAGGTGATCTCGTAGGCTTGGAGCAGGCCTTCGGTGGTGACGGGCTTGGGGAAGAGGGGCGCGTCGGCCGAGGGCGACGGAACCAGGTCGACGCCGCCCACCTCGGCGATGGCGCGCGCAAAGATCGTCTCCAGCAGGAACTTGGTCGCGCTGCCGCCCTTCATTCGGCTAGACCCCGTCAGCGTCTCAGGTCCCACCACTATCGCACGACACGCGACACGCGACACGCGCGACACACGACACACGACACAGTCGTCATTGAGTGAATGGCGGTGGAGGGCGAGCAGGCGGGGTTTGGAGCTGTTACGAGGGTTGAGAACGTAGTGACGCGGCGGAGCGCCGGCGCTGTCGGCGAGGTCGCGGAGGTGGGCTTGCTGCAGGCGCACGGCGACCTGCTTGAACGTGTGGTCCCACTTCTCGATGGGGTTATCCCTCGCCAGGCTCACTGTGTCATCCCCACCACCGGGCATCAGCCACGCAACACACGACACACGACACACGACACACGACACACGACACATGACACACGATACACGACACACGACACACACACGCAGAGGGTCCGTACCCGGGTTAAAGCCGAGAAGAACGCTGGAAAAGTGGGGCTGGCTCATGGCGTAGACGAGCTGGCCCGCCACATAGCCCGCGCTGGACAACAAGGAGAGGGGAGGGGGAGAGTGAATAACCTGATCAGCTGAGGCTCCCAGTCGACAAAATAATGGTGTACGCACCTGAAGCCGCACGTGATGCCCACGAAGAGAACACGGGCCTTGCCCTTTGTGATCGCGATCAAGTCCTAAAATGGTGCCATTGCGCCGTCGATTGAGTGGGAACAAACTGTGGTGAGAGGAGCCCCAACACGACGGGTTCCGACCCGCTTGATTGGGACTGGACCGTGGGACGGGTACGTACCTGGGTGCCCAGGTGGGGATTGTCCTCGGCGCTCTCCCTGGACGCGATTACCGCCTCGTCGCCTCCTGCACGAGTGCGGAACCGGTCCCTCTTTAGTGCTGCGTGTGTCGTGTAGTGCGCGCATGTGTGGTGTGTCGTGTGCGTGCCGTGTGTGTGTGTGTCACATGTCGTGTGCGTGCCGTGTGTTGTGTGTTGTGTGTAGTGCATGCGCTCCATCTTTGCATCAAGGAGAGAGCGAACCGGAGACGAGGTAGTAGAAGAGGGGCTTGCGGCCCAGTCCCACCAGCAGCTCATTGAATCCACGGCTCAGGAAGAAGGCCAGCCTACACGTTGTTCGATGCATCGTCATCGCCATCATCATCATCATCGTCATCATCATCAATGACCATCGCCCCGGCATATGGTGAAGGAGGAGCGTACCGGCCTGAGGTGCCGCAGCCCGAGAGCACAACGGCCGCTTCCTCCTGTGCGGGAGCCCTCAACAGCGAAGCCACCACCGTCACCTGCTCTCGCCCGGTGGGCCGACGTTAGTCACTGCCCGGAGACCTCCGATATTTTTATTATTTTTGACAAATACTCAATAAAGAAGTAATAAATATACAAATATACAAATATACAAATATACAAATATACAAATATACAAATATAATAAAATAATACAAATAATAATACAAATAAAATAAGTATAGGGAGAGAGGGAGTACGAGGTGGTCGAGGGAGGGGAGGAGGTCGTAGACGCTGAGACCAGAGCGCCAGCCGGAGAAGAGCTGCGCGTCGGAGTGGCGGCACACGCGGAGAAACCCGGTAGGGGACACCACGTCCATCTCCACACTCGCCTCGTTCACGCGCTCCGTCACCGACGGCGGGCCGCTCCACACGCCCTCACCCCCGTGCAGCAACTGCTCAGCTCTTCCTGCGCTACCTTCCATCTCTCCTTGCACACTCACAAATACGAGGAAACAAAGAAAATAGAAAGAAAAGGTTTTTTCTTTTGGAAAGAATGAGAGCTTCGTGTGTGACCTCCACCACAACTACTGCTGGGTCGATCGCCAGCCTGAGTCGGAAGATGGGCGGAAGGCCTGGAACATGCCGTGCTGGTACCCTGGCTTGCTGCCGCTGCCCTGTCCACCTCCTCTCCCTGAACGTATACGACGATGGAGAGGATGATGAAGGAGGTGTGAGAAAGTGGGAAGTGGTGAACAACAACATGCATCGTCTTCTTGTCAGTGGTGGTGGTGGTGGAAGAGAAAGGAGATGGGCGAACCTCTGTCCGATCCACCGCGGTGGCCGCCCCTACCGCGGGCGCTGCCCGGGCCTCCTCCTCGGCCACCGCCGCCGCTGCCGCCGAATCCGATGCCGGAGGTGCGGCGAGGGGCGCCCTCGCCTCCGCCGTCTCTTCTGTTTCGGTCGTGCGAGTGCGGCGCTCCGCCGCCCACACCTCCGGTGCGACGGAACCATTTTACTGTCGAAGCCTGCGCCAAGCAACCACATCATGTCTAGTGAGAACACACACACACACACCGCACACACACACACCGCACACGCATGGCCGAGAAGAAAGTACCAATTGGAGCAGCTCGGGTGGCACGTTCTGCTTGGCGGCCTGTAGGGAGCTGGTGAGGTGGGCGGCAAAGACCGACTGGTTGCGGGTGATGAGCGTGTAGGCGACGCCCGACTGGCCCGCGCGGCCCGTACGGCCCACGCGGTGAATGTGCGAGTGGATGTCGCGCGCCACGTCGTAGTTGACCACCGTGCGCACGGTGGGGATGTCGAGACCGCGTGCGGCCACGTCAGTGGCCACTAAGATGCCGACGCGGCCCGCGCGGAAGCCGTTGACGACCGACGTGCGCTCGGCCTGGGCCTTGTCGCCGTGCAGGCCGCCGCAGGCGAAGCCGGCCTCCTCGAGGCTGCGCGAGAGCAGCTCGCAGCCGTGCTTGGTGGCGACGAAGATGAGCACCTGGCCGGTCATGGCGAAGACCGAGAGGTGCTCCATGAGCCACGGCCATTTGTCGGTGTCAGACTGCATGATGTGAACCACCTGCTGGACGTCGGGGTGGGCCTCGCCCGCGGTGCCGATGTTGATGCGCACCGGGTGGGTGAGGAGGTCGCTGACCAGCTGTTCGACGCCGCGCTTGAAGGTGGCCGAGAAGAGCATGGTCTGGCGGTCGGGCCGGGTCTGGCCGGCGATGGAGCGCACCTGCGGCTCGAAGCCGAGGTCGAGCATGCGGTCGGCCTCGTCGAGCACCATGTAGGTCACCCGGCGCATGCTCAGAGTGCCCTTGCGCACCATGTGGATCAACCGGCCGGGCGTGGCGACCACCACCTCGACGCCGGCCTTGAGCTCCTTGGCCTGGTCGTACGTGTTCTTGCCGCCGTAGACCGCGCCCACGCGCACGTTGACGCGCTTGGCGAACTTGCGCGTCTCGCGGTGGATCTGCGCGGCGAGCTCGCGCGTCGGCGCGAGGATGATGGCGATGGGTCCGTCGCCGGGCGCCAGCGCCGGCTGGTCGAGCAGGTGCACGAGCATGGGCAGCACGTAGGCCAGCGTCTTGCCCGAGCCGGTGCGCGCCTGCGCCACGACGTCGAGCCCGCGCATGACGCACGGCACGGCCTGCTTCTGCACCGGCGTCGGCGCGCCGAAGCCCTGGCGCTCGATCTCGCGCTGCAGCTTGTCGGGCAGCCGGAAGTGCTCGAAGGCCTTGGCCGGCCGCGGAATGCGCTGCGGCGCGCCCTCCACGCGAATGTCGTACATCTGGCGGTAGTCGTGCACCTCGGCCTCGGTCATCCGGGTCACCTCCTCGGGCTCCACGTAGAAGTCGCGCTTGAAGCTCTCGTAGTGGATCTGCGAGTGGTCCAGCGGTGCCAGCGCCTCGATCTCCTTCTTGCGCTCCACCAGCGGGTTATCATCAGAGTCGTAACTGGTGTGTAGTAATAGAAGAAGAAGAAAAACGTAGAACGTAGAACGTTATCGTTACAAGCTGTGCAGCACACATGAACGGGCATGTAGCAAGTCATACTCTAGATCGTCGTCATCTACGTCATCGCCGTTGCCCTCGCGCTCCTCCTTCTCCTTCTCTTTCATGTGCTTCATGAAGCTCTCCAGTGGGTCCTCCTCCTCGAATTCTGCCACCAGCGCCTGCACAGCGACATGACGAGTGGCGTGAGTTCGTTGGTGAACAGAAGCGTCGTAGTAGAGGGTGCCAAGATGGCAACAAGATGAGCAGCCAAAGTCCACTACACGCACCTTGGTCTGGGCAGGCTTGATTATGCCGGCCTTCTCCTTCTTGACGGTGTCGTGAATTCCCTCCATGAATGCGTCCAAGGGGTCGACCTCGTCCTCGGCATCCGCTGCCTCCACGTTTTGCTTTTCTTCGTTTGGCTCCTCTTTGGCATCATGGTGCCGATCGCTGGCTGCCTCCTCATCATCAAATCCGAGGAGTGCTGCAGGCGGGGGGCGTTTGCGTTCCTCCGTGTCCTCAAAGCGGCCCCGCTTCTTGTCGCCCATGGCGAAGCCAGAGAACCCCGAGAACCCTGACTGCGGCCCGCGCTTCATCTCTCTCTATCAATTTGTGGGTTGTCTTTATTTTGTTTTTCTTTTGTTTCGCAAACTTTTCGCAATAGGTTTCGAGAAACAAGCTTAATCCCAACTTTTCTCGACTTTTTTTCCTGGGGTCACTGTCGCAAAATAAAGGAAAGATAGGGCGGCCGGCAGTCGTGTGACAATTCAAGATGGGAGACCGAAGAGGCCAGCGTGCTCCGCAGGTACGAAGCTGCCTCCAAATTGATTCGTCATTTATGCCTTGCTCATTTTGTTAATCGCCCAACTGATCCCCCCCCAAATTTTGTCGATTGAACGATATAGGTGAAGAACAAGTCGGCGGCCGAGATCCAGATCACTGCCGAGCAGATCATTCGCGAGGCGCAGGAGCGGCAGGAGGAAGAAATCCAGCCGCCCAAGCAGAAGATCACCGATAAGGAGGAATTGGACGAGTATCGATTGCGGAAGCGTAAGGAATTCGAGGATCAGATTCGCAGGCAGCGCGGCCTCATCACAAATTGGCTCAAGTATGCCGCCTGGGAGGACAGCCAGGGCGAGATGGAGCGGGCGCGCAACGTCTACGAGCGCGCGCTCGATGTGGAGTACCGCAATGTCACCATCTGGCTCAAGTACGCCGAGATGGAGATGAAGCACAAGAACGTCAACCTCGCCCGCAACCTGTGGGATCGCGCGGTCACGCTCCTCCCGCGCGTCAGCCAGTTCTGGTACAAGTACATCTACATGGAGGACATCCTGGGCAACTACGCCAATGCGCGACAGATCTTCGAGCGATGGATGGAGTGGCAGCCCGACGAGCAGGCCTGGAACTCCTACGTCAAGTTCGAGATGCGGCAACGGCGAGGTGGAGCGCGCGCGGTCGGTCTACCAACGGTATGTACAGAGCAACCCGACCGTCAAGACCTGGGTCCGCTGGGCGCGCTTCGAGGAGAAGCTGGGCGAGGTGGCGCGGTCGCGCGAGGTCTACGAGAAGGCCATCGACTACCTGGGCGACCTGGCCAACGACGAGCTGCTCTTCATCGCCTTTGCCGAGTTCGAGGAGCGCGCGCGCGAGTACGACCGCGCGCGCGCGATCTACAAGTACGCGCTCGACCACATCCCGAAGGCGCGGGCCGACGACCTCTACCGCATGTTCATCACGTTTGAGAAGCAGCACGGCCAGCGCAGCGACATCGAGGACGTCATCGTCGGCAAGCGCCGCTTCCAGTACGAGGAGGAGCTCAAGACCAACACCCACAACTACGACATCTGGTTCGACTACGTGCGCCTCGAGGAGATCAACTCGCCGGCCGAGCGCGTGCGCGACATCTACGAGCGGGCCATCGCCAACGTGCCCCCGGCCGCCGACAAGCGCTTCTGGCGGCGCTACATCTACCTGTGGATCAACTACGCGCTCTACGAGGAGCTCCAGGCCAACGACGCCGGGCGCGCGCGCGAGGTCTACAAGCAGCTGCTGCGCATCATCCCCCACCAGAGCTTCTCCTTCAGCAAGGCCTGGACCATGGCCGCCCAGTTCGAGATCCGACAGCTCGACCTGGCCGGCGCGCGGTCGGTGCTCGGGCACGGCATCGGCATGGCCCCGAAGGAGAAGGTGTTCAAGTTCTACATCCAGCTCGAGCTCCAGCTGGGCAACGTCGACCGCTGCCGGCGCCTGTACGAGGCCTACGTCGAGCGACACCCCGACAAGTGCTCGGCGTGGACCTCCTACGCCGAGCTCGAGCGCCAGCTGGGCGAGGTCGAGCGCGCGCGCGCCATCTACGACCTCGCCGTCGAGCAGCCGCTGCTCGACATGCCCGAGGTGCTGTGGAAGGCCTACATCGACTTTGAGATCGAGCAGGAGGAGGCCGAGCGCACCGAGCTCCTCTACCGGCGCCTCCTCGAGCGCACCAAGCACGTCAAGGTCTGGATCTCCTACGCCCAGTTCCTCGCCACCATCGCCGGCCGCGCCGACGACGCCCGCACCACCTACGAGGACGCCTACAAGTACCTCAAGAACGCCGGCCTCAAGGAGGAGCGCGTCCTGCTGGTCCAGAGCTGGAAGCAGTTCGAGGAGCAGGCCGCCGACGAGAAGGGCCTCGCCCGCGTCAACGCCCTCCTCCCCAAGCGCATCAAGAAGCGGCGCCCGATCAAGACCGACGACGGCACCGCCGCCGGCTGGGAGGAGTACTACGACTACATCTTCCCCGACGAGCAGGCCGCCCTCCCCAACCTCCGCATTCTCCAGAAGGCCCACCAATGGAAGGCCGCCGAGTCCTCTTCCTGATCATCATCTTCTTCGTCATCGTCATCATCATCGTCTTCTCTCTTCTTCTCTTCTCTCTTTCTTCTCTCTTCTGGAAAAGGACAATAAGATGGAGTATGAAACCAATGATCGTTCTTGATGGCGGAGAAGAAGGTGATGATGAAAATGAAGATGGAGAAGAAGAAGATGTCTACACGCCCTGCAGCCACGGGTGCTGGAGGGACTGCTTGGCGGTGGCTCGCTTGGCCGGGTCGTACTCGAGCATGGGCCGCAGGAAGGAGCTGAGCGCGGCGGCCTCGTCGGCGGGCAGGTGGTACTTCTCCTTGAGCACCTCCTCCAGCGGCCAGTACTGGAGGTTGCCGATGTACTTGAGCTTGCCCAGCCGGTTGAAGTACCGGCGCGCGTACTTGCCTCGCGAGGCGATCGCCTTCGGAATGTTGCCCAGCGTCTCGATGAACTGCGCCAGATGATCTGCATCGAATAGAAAGCGTGAGATGATGACGAAGATGAAGATGAATGAATGAATGAATGATGAAGATGATGACGAATGTACCGTCGCTCTTGTCAAAGTTCTTGCCGGAGCGGGGCTCGAAGAGGAGGTCGCCGGTGGCGAGCTCGAAGACGATGCAGGCCATGGACCACATGTCGACGGGTGTGGAGTACTTGGCGCCCACGATGGCCTCCAGCGACCGATACTGCCGCGTCTGGATGTCATCGGTAAAGTGCTTGTGGGTCCAGCACGCGTTGCCAAAGTCCACGATCTTCACCGTGTAGTCGGTCGGCTCGAGGCTCAGGCCGCTGCTGGCCGCGTTCGCGCTCTTCTTCTCCGCCTCCGTCTCCTTCTTCTTGGCCTCTTCTTCCGCCACCTCTGCCACCACCGGCTCTGCTGCCGACTTCTCGCTCTCGCCGGCGGTGTCCGCTGGCGTCTCGACCGACAGCTCCGCCGTCACCGTCACTACCGACGCCGACGCAGCCACGACCGTCGCCGACTCGATGGTCTGGGGCGGTGGCGTGGGCTCGTCGTCCTTGAGCCTGAGCTGCCGCTTGCGCCGCTGGTTCTTGGTGAGCTTGGCGCTGCTGCTGCCGCCGGCCGCCGCGTCGTCTGAGGCGCCCGCGCCCACCGGACCGGCACCGCCGGCGCCGTCGTCGGCCGCGAGGAGGAGCACGTTCTCGGGCTTGAGGTCGGTGTGGATGAGCTGGAGGCTGTGGATGTAGTCGAGGCCCACCAGCACCTGCTTGGTTATTCGCTTCACGATGGCGAGCGGGAGGCCGCGGTAGTTGGTGCGCTTGATGAGGTCGAGCAGCGAGCAGCCCAGGGTCTCGAAGACCATGCAGACGTGCTTGCCGTTGGGGCCGCGGTGGTGGAAGTGGTCGAGCAGATGCACCACGTGCTTGTCGTCCTTGGGGTCCTGCTGCGTGAGCTTGTTGAGCATCTCGATCTCGTCCATCGCCGCCTCCGTGTACTCGGTCGCGCTCTTCACGATCTTGAGCGCTCGGTGCGTGTGCGGGGTGCTGGTGGCAAATGATGGTGATGATGTGCGATTAGAGATTGATAACATTCTCATCATTTTTGATGAAGAGGTAAGAGATGGAACAACGTACGTGGTGTCGTGCACAAGCCACACGGTGGAGAAGTGGCCCCAGCCGAGTTTGCGCACGATGCGGTACCGTCGGTTGTAGAGCTCGCCCACCTGCACCGGGTGGTAGCCTCCCTTCACGTAGTCCTCCGTTCCCTCGTCCTCATCCGAGTCGTCCTCGCCCGAGCTGCTGTCATCGCCGCCCTCATCGGACGAGGAGCCGTCGTCTTCGTCTTCATCTCGATTCCCCTTTCCGGCCTGCTTCTTGGCATTGGCCGACTTGCTACTCTCGGCTCGCCCCTTCTTCACATTCGCTTTAGAGGAGCGCGCAGACAAAGCTGCGATGGCAGCGGCGCCGGGCTTCGATGGCTTTCGATTGTTGGAATTGCCGACGACGTCCTTCTTTGCTCTCTTTTCATCTGTGGGCTTCACATCCTCCTCCTCATCTCCGCTATCATGTTCAGGGGCCTTGTCCTGCGTTGCGCCACCGGTGGCGTTGGGCTTGGGTCCCGTCTTCTTCTTCTTCTTGCGATTTTTACGGGCCTTGTTCGATTTGGCAGCCCCGCCCAACATCGTTCCTCCGCCCAAGCTGGTGCCGCCCAGGCTCGTGCCGCCGCCTCCATCATCTGCAGGCACCACCTTCTTGTCTTCCTCCATCTTGTATAATTCTGGAGATCTGAGGCCGATTACTGCCCGATTAAATCAAATCGGGAGAAAAGGCGCCAAAAGAGCAGTTCTGAGAAATCAAGAAGAAAATGATTATTTATCTTTACTTTTGTCAATCGATCAAAAATCACCACCCGATCGTCTGAGACAAGCGCTGCCATCATGGAGGGTCTTATGACGGAGGCGCCTGATCTCTTTGACTCGAAAAAGCTCACACAACCCGTCGGCACCGTCGAGGTACATCTTCAAACACCGCCAGCGCTGCTCTGGGCGTAGGCCAATTTTTAATTGTGCTGATTTTATTCTACTCGATTTATTCAGGACAAATGGAAGCTGTTGCCTGCGTTTCTGAAGGTGAGGGGTCTGGTGAAGCAGCACATCGACTCCTACGATTATTTCATAAATGTAGAAATCAAGAAAGTGCTGGAGGCCAACGCGCTGGTTCAATGCGATGAGGACACCACCTGGTTCCTTCGGTACTTCACCCTCTGCCCACCACAACTCAGTCCATTCTCCGCCTCTTCTCTTTGATGCATGCATCATGCTCCGCCCGGAGGCATCTCCGTTCTTTCACGCTGTGCACTGACAGGCACTTTGCTCACTCTCCCTCCGCACACTGACCAGGTACAAGAACATATACATCGGCGAGCCCACGATCGAGGAGGACCTCGTGCCCGTGGCCGTCACCCCCCAGCACTGCCGCCTGCGGGACATCACCTACTCGGCCCCCATTTCGGTCGACATCGAGTACACCCGCGGCAAGCAGATCGTGATCCGCAACGGCATCGTCATCGGCCGCATGCCGATCATGCTCAAGTCCAGCAAGTGCATCCTCACCGGCAAGAACGAGCAGGAGCTCGCCGCCCTGCAGGAATGCCCGCTCGATCCTGGTACACACACACACACACACAACACAACATACACACAATTTCAATGGCAATGACTCTTACTCGCGCTCGTCTACGTGGGTGGATGATGCCACGACACAGGCGGCTATTTCGTCGTGAAGGGAGTCGAACGAGTGCTGCTGGTGCAGGAACAGCTGTCCAAGAACCGTATCATTATCGAAGAGGACAAGACCGGCGGTGTGGCCGCGAACGTGGTGAGGTACCGCGGCCCCTTCCCATTTCAGCGCACATCTCGTCCTCTCCCTGTGTGTGTGCGTGTGACGTGTGTGTGTCATGCTAACGCCGCTTCCTATGATGATTAGTTCCACGCACGAGCGGAAGAGCAGGACCACCCTGAATGTCAAGAATGGCAAGATCTATCTCAAGCTCAACATGCTCACCGAAGAAGTGCCGATCGTTATTCTGATGAAGGTAACGATCATGATGTTCTCTTCTTGATCCCAATGTGGTTTGCCGTCCACTCCGCTGGACAGCCTCGTGTGCTCACTGCGTGGCGCCAATGCACAGGCCATGGGCGTGGAGTCGGACCAGGAGGTGGTACAGCTCGTGGGCAGCGAGCCCTACTACGCCGACATGATGTCGTCGTCGCTCGAGGAGTGCTGCAGGATGCAGGTCTTCACCCAGACACAGGCGCTCGAGTACATCGGCAACCGCATCAAGAAGAACAACCAGCGCAAGCCCAAGCCCAAGGCACACTAGCTTGCGCCCCCCCCCCGCGTGTGCGCGCTGGTGCGGCTCGGCGACAACTGGCTAACAGTGGCCACGGTGCCATTGGCTCCTAGGCCGAGGAGGCGCGTCACATTCTGGCGAGCGTGGTGCTCTCGCACGTGCCCGTGGTCAACTACGACTTCCGCGTGAAGGGCATCTACGTGGGCCTCATGATCCGCCGCATTCTGCTGGCCATGCGCGACCCCTCCACCATGGACGACAAGGACTACTACGGTAACAAGCGACTCGAATTGTACACAACCGCGCCTCTTCGTTCGTTGGTTCGTTCGTTCTTTTTCTTTTCGTACTTTTTCGTTCATTCTCGCTTTCGCTCTTTCGCTTGTTAGAGCTGGCTCGCTGCTGTCGCTGCTGTTCGAAGACACCTTCAAGAAGTTCAACGCCGAGCTCAAGCGCCAGGCCGACACCGTGCTGGCGAAGCAGAACCGGGCCGCCGAGTTCGACATCCTCAAGTGCATCCGCCAGGACACCATCTCCTACGCCCTCTCGCGCGCCATTTCGACCGGTAACTGGAATCTCAAGCGTTTCAAGATGGAACGTGCCGGCGTCACACAGGTTTGTGTGTGTGTGTTGTGTGTGTCGTGTGTGCGTCGTGTGGACGCAATGCAGCGGTGGACATCATTGTGTGTGTCGTGTGTGCGTCGTGCGTGTGTCATGTGTGTGTCATGTGGACGCAATGCAGCGGTGTACAGCATTGTGTGTGTGTGTGTGTTCGCGTACACACTCGTTGACTGACGCACTGTTGGCTCGCACGCCAGGTGTTGTCTCGGCTCTCGTTCATTGCGGCGTTGGGCATGATGACAAAGATCTCCTCCCAGTTCGAAAAGACCCGCAAGGTCAGCGGCCCCCGGTCGCTTCAGGTACCTAGACTATGCTCCCCCCCCCGCCGACGCTTCGTTCTTTTGCCAGACACGAGACACGAGCAGCGAGTGAGTGACCTGGGTGGGCGGTGCTTCTCTGTGACGCACGCGCGGCGGGTTTTAGCCTTCGCAATGGGGCATGTTGTGCCCGTCGGACACGCCCGAAGGAGAGTCGTGCGGCTTGGTCAAGAACTTGGCGCTGCTCACTCACATCACCACCGACGAGGACGAAGCCCCCATCCGCCGGATCGCCCTCAACCTCGGCGTCGAAGGTTTGTATTCACTACAACACGACACACACGACACACACGACACACACGACACACACGACACACACGACACACACGACACACACGACACACACGACACACACGACACACACGACACACACGACACACACGACACACACGACACACACGACACACACGACACACACGACACCACGACACACACGACACACACGACACACACGACACACACGACACACACGACACACACGACACACAAGACGACCACGACACACACGACACACACGACACACACGACACACACGACACACACAACACCTGACTGACAGCAACGTGGCACGGCAGATATGGCGCTGTTGTCGGGAGAGGAGATGCACTCGGCGGGCAACTACCTGGTGTTCATGAACGGTATGCTGCTGGGCGTGCACCGCGCGCCGCACACGTTCGTGCGCAACTTTCGACTGCTGCGCCGGTCGGGCAAGATGAGCGAGTTCGTGTCGGTCTTCATCCACTACGGCCAGCGTTCGATCTACATCGCCTCCGACGGCGGCCGCGTGTGCCGGCCGCTCATCATCGTCGAGAAGGGCCGGCCGCGCGTCGAGACCAGGCACATCAAGGAGGTCACCGACGGCTTCCGCACCTTTGACGACTTCCTCAAGGAGGGCCGCATCGAGTTCCTCGACGTGAACGAAGAGAACAACTGCTTCCTCGCCCTCTCCGAAAAGGGTGCGCACACACCTTTCTTCACCACACACACGCCCCACAAGCCTCAAGTGCTCACGTGTGTGTTGTGTGTGTGTGTGTGTGCGTGCGTGCGTGTTGTGTGTGTGTGTGTGTGTTGTGCGTGTGTCGTCGTCGTTGTGTGTGTCGACGTGTGTGTTGTGGCGCGTGGCACAGAGATCACGATGAGCACGACGCACCTGGAGATCGACCCGCTGACGATCTTGGGCGTGTGCGCGGGCCTGATCCCCTACCCGCACCACAACCAGTCGCCGCGTAACACCTACCAGTGCGCCATGGGCAAGCAGGCCATCGGCAATATCGCCTACAAC